CCTGAGGACATCATTCTTCTTCTTCTTCTTCTTCTTCTTCTTTTGCTTCTTCTGTCAGAGCTTCCATAATACTTTGCTTCCTGGGAGGACGTGCTGGGATGTCAGATTTTCACTCTTGTCACCTCGCTAGCAGGCACAACTTTCAACCAGTCTTCTTCAAACCTTCAAGGATGGTTACTCAATGTCAGATCAAGGACTTGGGGTGATAAATTGATGTATATGGCCAAGGTACTGTCTCTGAGGAGATACGTAGTGTTTCCTTTAGTCATTCATAAATTCAAGTTTGGATTATTGATGATCATAAAAGCATTATAATCAAAGAAAAACGCTGAACGTGCTGAATGAGGTGCCGTTATGAACACACTCTGAATGCCCCATGTTGCTTGAAGAAGAAGAAGCTGTTGTCTGCTTGTTTTGGAGGGCATTGTTCAATAGCGCCGACCTGAGCGAAGGAGCTGAAAGAGGTGGTGACCAGGATTTGGAGGGTCTGAGAGAAATTTGCCTGCCTTTATCTTCGTTCTTGCAGCATGTAAGTCCCCAAGACTGGGGTGGGATGTGACTATATGTAAAAAAAGATTGTCGAGTTCACTATCAAGACATGATCCATGGCCTCCCTTTGACCTTATTTTGACTCGAAGCGTAGAATCGACCGCTCGAGATGTTAGCTATTTTCACTAAAGAGTCTCATCTCGGAGGCTGAGCAGCGAATCCGTTTTTATTCAACAAAGTTTGCTGATTGCGGCTCGTTAGCCGCCGCTAACGCTACTGCTCCCGGGCCGCCGAAAGCCAACGGGCGCATGCGGCGTCAGCAATCAGCGCTGATTGGATTTTGATCTCCTCCGATTAGGTCTGGAGCGCCGAGGCTAATTTAGCAAAACCAACCTGAAGTGAATTCTTAATCACTTTGCTATCTGAAATTCAAATTGTCAGATCTTTTATTTATCTTTTTTTCTTTGTAGGACAGTTTTAATTACATTGAACTCCCGCTGCAGCTGCAAAACCTTGCTCAGGAATGTCAGCCAATGCACGTTTAATCAGTTCTTCTTCAGTAATGGGATGATTTGTTGTTGTTTTTTTTTTATGTTGTGCATATCAAGGAACAAAAGGGAGCCATTTCTTGTTTTATGGCGAGCCGTCAATCTTTGCTGTCATGCTGTGCCCATGACAATGATCAACACCTCAATTTATTACAAATGAGAGTTTTCCATCTGTCTAGTCTAGTATATGTGGACTGTAGTCTCTAGAAGACATTCATCTTTGAGTGGCCTCTAGAAATGGCCAAAACGAACTTAGAGAACTGCTTTTCTGAGCTAAAATCGCAGAGGTTTATTTTCAGTCATGGCTTCTTGAGCCTTTTTTCATTTTTTATTCATAATTTAGTATCCAACAGTATAGAACAGGGTTATAATACAAGTAGATTGGGATATTTCATGATAGTTTGTTTTTATTTTGTTGTTTTTTTTTTTAAATTCCATTACAGTACTTTTAATTCGTTTTTAGAGCAGCTGTTTTAGTTGTTATTTTCCCCCCCAAAATGCTTATTTTTAGCTTAGTTGTATTAGTTTGAATATTATTTCATTAACTATGATAACATTAGTATCGAGTCAAATTCTTTGTGTTGGTGGAACCTGGAAATGCCCTGAAATGGTTCGCTTGAAACCAAAAGGGCAGTGTTCCTGTGTCTTTTCGAACATGGCTCCTTGAACATTTTTGTGTGTCCACTCATGATAGACTTGTCCACCGAATTTCATTTTGCTCAGTGAAATTTTTTATTTTATTTTTTTTAGAGTGGGAAAGTCCTCAAAAATGGTCGCTTTACTCTTTATGGCCTCATAATAACGTTACAAAAGCGAAGCGATGGCGTCATGTCCTCTCCCGACAGTCTCCCTGTTTGTTTGTCTCAGGCGGGACGTCCACTCTGCGTCTGTCGTCGGTGCGTGAGCTGCCAGAACAGTTGCAGGAGCTTTACCAGCAAGACTTCCGGCTGGCCGCCATTCACCCGTTCATCCACCCCTGCGGCCCGGAGTCCAACAGCCCGCAACACCAACTCTACCGCGCCATCCTGGTCCAGATCAACGAGGGGTACGTGCTCATCTTTTCATAAGTACACACTCATTTACCAGGCATGTAATAGGTTGCAGTTTATTTAACCCCCTTCATGCACTGTCCCTGAAAGGGTTAAAGGTGGAGTATGCACGACTCAAGCTGCACACGACATGCAGTTGCACCTATAATTCTCCCAAAATGGCTGACTTTCTGTTCAATTTCCAATATGGGTGCTTGACTACTTGCTGTTATAATAGACCCACAGTTTCGCGGATTTTCTCCAAGTTTCCAATGGGCGCCACTGAGTGAGTTTTGGGTGTTCTCGTTGTACCCTAAACAGTAATATTTTCACCAGAACAGAAGGAATAACCAAGAAGTCGGTGGGCTCTCGTGGGGGAGTTGATGGAGGGAACATATTAAAGATGAATCACAAGTCGTAAATAAAATAAAAAATGGCGCGTCGCCTTATGATATCTGCCACTTCACAAGCACGTTATATGCCTTTTTAAAAAATATATTATTATGTTTGTAGTGAGTATACCTTTGATGCTTTTACGACAAAATATTGTCGGCAATCATTTCTGGACGATCGGGATGGTCAAAAAGGATAATGGTGAGGCTGCACAACCTCTAAAATTCATAAAAGGAAGCTTGCAGTTGAAGGAAAGAGCGTGAGCTTCAAATTCAGCTCAATGCTAAATTTAAAAAAAATAATGTTTACGTTACATGTTGCGGGGGAAATTCACAAGGATGTTGTAGATCTTTTTTTTTTTTCCCAAAAATGTTTTTGATGATATTTTCTGATGCTGAAGTTCATGAAAAAAAATACAATTATTATTTTATTTGAAAATCTTGATTTGAAAAAAAAAACAGGACTATTACAAAATAATAAAATAACTTGCATGTTTTAAAATTTAAAGATTTAGCCCATAAAGTTAAACATGTTTATTTAATTGAAAAAACTATATTATTCAACTCTATATTAGTATTAGATATTATTTAAAAAATACCAAATAATTTTCCTTACAAAAAGAAACAACCACCCACCCCAAAAAAAATCCTGCGTCCATATTTTGAAAAAAAGTGACCTCAAAATTTATGCGTGGGTGTGTGGGGAGGGGCAGAAGACATCAAAGAAAAATGCAAATTGGTCATCATGCTTCAAGCACTCTAATAGGGCTTGAAAAAAAGACAAAACTGTAGTACAACACAGTAGTAATTTGCCCCCCCTCCACCCCCCACATCTCCCCCTCACATCAGAAAAACATAAAATGTCAACTCTCAACTCCCCCAATGTTCCATTAGGCAGCGATGCGGCGAGGTTACAGTTGAGCAGGCAATGGCTGATGGGATGTATTCATCATTACTGGCTGATTGCGGCAGAAGAAGAAAAGGAAGAAGAAGAAGATGATGAAGCATGGTTATGGTGGGGGCGGAGAGGGGGGGATAATGAGGTCCCCACTAAAGAGCAACAGAGGTGAGCGTCCGACATGAAATGACTCACAAACAGGTGGAAATATGAAGAAATGCTCTGTGGCAGGCTGTGTTGTCATAGCGATGGATGAAGGCCACGCATGGACGGGTGGAAGGAAGGAAGGAGGGGGTGGGGAGGGGTGGCACCAGAGGGAGTCGAGTTCTCCGCTGCGAGTCTTTTTTTAGCCTCGCCGTCGCTTGTTGCACGAGAGAAAAGACTTTTGTGTTGCGCACCGAATACGCCTCATAAATGTCCACTTATGTGAGTGATGTCGCAAAGTGGATGGTCGTATGCAAAGCTGCCTTAAATGGCGTGTGGCGTTGAAAAAAAAATGTTTCTCAGAATCCGTAGGGTTCTTGCTTCAGAATTGCATTTTTTTATTCAATCAAAGTCATTACTTTACCTCTTAGGGCTACGACACTAAGCTTCAAAACCATTAAAGTTCTGCCTTTGAATTTCATTGTGTCGCTAAAACTTTGACAGAGAATGGTTTCCACAACATGAACTTTAGCTTGACCTTAGTTACATTATCATCCATCAGCTGAGAGGGAGGGCGGAGGCTGGGGGGTCATCAGGTGTGTTCACCCGGCAGGAGGATCCCGACGCCGGCCGCTGGACGTTTGTCAGAGGCCTAAGCAGGCGGAGCTTGTGATGCACCAACACAAGAGTTGACACTGGAGGTCTTGCTCTGCTATTTTGAACGTGAATGCCCCCTGGACGCAAACACAGACAAACCCATCTGTCTTATGTTTCCCTCCTTATTTATCGCTCCTTCTCACACCCTTCGTCTCTCTCTCGCTCTCTCTCTTTTGGCTCTTTTAACCTTACTTTGTCACTCCCTCCTGCTTGCTTACAATGCAACCGCCCTTCCCTGACTCCATTACTACCAATTGCCTCTCGCACTCCCTTATTTCGTCTTACACGCCCTGTTGCTCTCCCACTGCCTCCCCAAGACTCCCTCACGCTCGAAGGCCAGCTACACACATCAAGACAATCTCGCTATATAAGTTCGGATTTTGTTCCTTCCCGGCCAAGGAGGTCAAATGCACAACAATCTTATGTCTTATGTCACACTATACGATGGTCCTCTTGTCAGACGTGTGTTCAGACCAGGGTTATAATAGTTTGGGATTTTACATGATAATTCATTTTTATTTTGTTTTGACTTTTTTTTTTTTATTCAGTTAATTTTAAGTAGTTTTTTGCGGCAGATTTGGTAAGTTTTTTTTTTTCAAAAATGCTTCATTTTTAGGTTTATTAGTTTTGGTGTTAGTTTTAGTTTTTTTAATATGCAATATAAGTATTTGTTGAGTGCAAAAAACAACAACAACTATAATTCCCATACAACTGTTAGATCGTATTTCTTCTAGGCTAAATAGTAATGAAATATATATATTTAAAACAACCCCCGAAGCTGATGTATGATATTAATTGACAAAGACGAAAATGAAGGACATTTTTGATCTGAATATCGTTAGTTTAGTTTGTTTTAAAAACATGAAATGTAGTTACATGTTCTTTGTTTTTATTTGTTTTTTATTAAAGCTCTCGTTTTTATTTAATTAAAAATTTTTTTTCCAGTTTATTTTGTTTTACCCTCGTTACTTGTGATAACGTTGGTTAAAGGAGAAGTCTAATAAATATATATTTTTTATTTATTTATTTGTTATTATTATTATTATTTTTTTTTTTTTATGAAGTTTTTTTAAAATATGTTCTATGCCTACTTACGAGTCTCCACGTGGTATTTGGATTAATATGGTGTTTGTGGAATGTGAATTAGGAACCAAAATCCACCCATATTTCTCCATTGCGAGACGAATAAAGGTTTTCTTATCTTATCTTATATTTATCCATCTCAGAGGGTGGCCATTTTGCCATTTTCTGTCGCCTGATAATGACATCACAGAGCCGAAGGGCTCAGCTTGTGAAGGTCACATGATCAAACCCAGAAGGCAGGTGAGCCGTGATTTGTGGATTTGTGTGCCCTGCCCCCGGTGGCGAAATTGCATGCACCAGAAAAATCATAGTCCTCTCCTCAATCCTCGATGCCGACCGGAATCACTGTCGGATGCGGGCTCAACCTTTTCCCTTCCAAATCAAATTATGGCACATTAGAGCTCTCGATACCGAGATTGTCTCTGAGGACCCATTTTCATGACTCTAAGCGCACGAATGACAAAATGGACCCCCCCCCACCCCCCACCAACCCCAATCTGGTGGCGTGTTCATGCTAAAAGCTTTTCATTTCGTCTTCTTTTGCTTCTTCCTCTTTGTGCAGTAATATGAGAACATATTTTAAAAAGCTCCGTGTGTGTGTGTGTGTGTGTGTGTGTGTGTGTGTGTGCGTGTGCGTGCGTGCGTGCGTGCGTGCGTGCGTGTGTGTGTGTGTGCACGCAGTATGTGTGCATATCGCTCCCTGGACGATCGCAAACGAAGCACAGGGGTGTAAAAATAGATTAAATGGAATGTATGATTCATAAATTCATGTTTCTATTAGTCTTTGATGTCATCTCTGCCCCAAAAAGCTTAATTTCTTGGTCCATTATATGACAGTGTATTGATGGAAAAAAAAAATCATAAGAATAATAATAAGTAGGAGCGCACATTTCATTTTCTTTTTTATCAGACCACAACTACAAATCCTCCAACAAATCTTTTCACAGCAAGTAAATGTAACTTGACATTGTTGAATTCTGGTGACACGTAGATTTACTCTTACTGTTTGAACTGTAACCATGACGACCGATCCACAACGCTTTCTCCCACGAGACCCACGACGATTTTTTTCATATGATGCAATTTTGTGTTGACCATTTAAAACCGTACTCAGGTGTCTTCATAAAAAGCACTCTGACATTCTTCCGTGAAAATTCATTCAAGGATGATTAATGACAAGGATAAAATTGTTGCTTACCCATTTACAAAATGATTCGCTCCAATTATGATGCAATTTCATCCAATTGGGATACAATCTAAAACGATTCAATCCATTTTGGATATAGGTTCAATCCATTGAGGATTCGTTCACTCCAATTATGATATGATTCTCGAATTGCGAAATGTTTCACTCCAATTCCGATACCATTCACTGCAATTTCAATGAGATTTACTCCATGTATCTTATTCCTTTGCCTTGAGTTTATAAATAAAGCCGAATGATTGAATTGACTGATATAATTCAGTCAAATTATACTGCAAAAGCGATTCTACCAAATTACGACATGATCGGCTCCAGTTCCAACAAGATTCCCTCCTAGTATGATTTACTGCCCCCACCCAACGCACGTAGTAAACACAACAGTGTGACTGGACACTGATCAGAGAGTCCAAAGCTGACGAGACACTGATCAGAGTCAACAGAGTGACGAGACACTGATCAGAGAGTTAACCACGTGATGAGACACAAGGGAAGGTGCTGGGCGGGGCTGCGAAAAGACGCAGCCAATCAGCTCACGGGATAAATTCACTCATGCTGTCATTGGTCGACGTCGTGCCGGGAATCAATCATGCATACAGCCATGTACAAAACCTCTGAGCCATTCAGCATTTTTTTTCTAAATACAGTACTTTGGGGAAAAAATGCAATGCAGTGAATCTGCGATAAATGAACCGTGATATAGCGAGGGATCACTGTAATACGATTTACTCAATATCTTTCACCCTGATTATGATACGATTAAAAAAATCAAATAAATACTTTCTTTAAATACGTTCTCTCCAAAACCAATTCGATTCATTCCAGGTATGATATACGATTCCCCACCATTAGCATACGATGCAATAGGCTACCATTTGCTCCAACTTCGGTTTGATTCACTTCAATTACAATAGCGTCACATTCAGCGAGGTGCAAATGGCTCCAATTCTGAAGAAAAGGGTCTCTGTGGTGACGAAAGTAACTGCAGAGAGTGGCCTCCGGTTGTGTGTGTGCGTTTGAGGCGTTAAAAGTCAGCGAGTGTAAGCTTGTTCGTACGCCACGTCGAACACCACAAGCTCGAACGCACCCTGCCGCGTTACGGGTGACTTTGCTCTCGTCACGCACACACACACACATGCACACATGCACACACACTCGTGCGCGTGTGGTGAGGAAAAGGCCGTTCGGGACTTCTTGTCACCAGGATGAGCAGCAGGGAGACGGAAACGGTGGCGTTCTCCTCCTGGGGGCCGACGTGGGAGAAGAACGGAGGGGAAACGTCTTCTTATAAATAGAAAACAGCCCGCTTGTATCCACTTGAGTGTGAGGGGAGGTTCAGTGTGTGTGCGCGTGTGTGTTTTGTGTGAGGAGATTTGCATGGCATTTCTTGCCTCCGCGCGTCTTGTCTTTCATCTTGCGAGAGTCTTTAAGTTTGTTCGATTGTCATCGTCGTCGTCGTCGCCTCCCGCAGGCCGACGATCCCAGCAGCTAATGTTTATACGCTCCCTTCGCTGCATTTACACGGCCACGGAGAACAATATGTTATTGACGGGATTTTTTTGAGGGGGGGAGGAGGGGGAGGGGAAATCTCCATTTGAACTTTTCATCAAAGTCGGAGCGGGGCTAATGTTGTGCTCTCCCCGCAGGGTCGACAAGAGGCTGGCGGTGTGCTCGCCGTGCAGGCTGCAGTTGGAGCCGTGTGTGCCCGCAGAGCAGGTGCCAACTCCTGAGCTCATCCAGGGATACGTCAAGAAGGTAAGAAATCAAACGAGGTATCAGACGACAACGCTGACTCCAATTACACGATGATATGATTCATACCCATTATGACACGAATTATAATTACGAATAAATTTGATTCTTCCCAATTACGTTGGAATAAGGTTCACACCCCCCCACTCAAATTTCAACATGGTTCACTCCAACCACAATACAATACAATACGATTCCCTGAAGTGAAAATACAATTCATTCCAGAGCCAATCTGATTGACTCCGATTCACCGTAGTTTTAAAGAGTTGACTCTATTTACGCTACTGTACAATACACTTCGGTTACGATGCAATACGGTTTGCTCCAATCGTAAGAGGATACCAGTCACCGTCTTTGCGATCTGATTCACTCCTTTTACGATAGGATTCACTCCGTTCAGACTGCAATTGGCTCAAACGGCAGTTTCGATACAATGTGTTTCTTTTGTAAAATGATTCACTCTGCGACATCCACCATTCCATTTGTGAAACGATCTAATCGATAAAAGATTCACTCAATTTATTCCAAACACAACATGATTTGATTGTTCAATTTATGGCACGATTCAATACGGTTTAAAAAAATGTGCCTTTATTATATGATTCCCACCAACTCCGATATTGTCCAATTCACTCCGGTTATGATTCAGTCGGAGTCACGTTTACAAAACGATTCATTCGAATACTCATTCTGATTCACTCCACTTTTCATCCAATTTAACTCACTCCATTTACAATCCGATTCACTGCATTTACGATAGAATTCACTCCTGTTTTGATCCGACGGGATTCATTCACAACACGATTCACTCCAGCTACGACGCAATAGGATTCATTCCAGTTTTGATCCGATTTGATTCACTCCATATTTCTTCTTTCCGTGTCAAACAAATGCACCCGATTACCACGCGATTCACTCTGATTACGATGCTATCCGATTTACGAGGATTCAATCCAATCCCTTTTTTTCTTTTTATCATTAGGATGCAATGTAATACGTCTTATCTGAAATTGAGTTCTGCCAGGCACAAACACCTCTATCTTCGTCATCTTTTTCTGTCTAACCTGTGTTTGTAACCGTCGCCGTGACGTTGACCCCCCACCAATGAAGTTTCCCCACTCGAACCCTCTTTGCCCTTCCATTAGTCACGCCCCCGCCATCCTGTTGGACCTCATTACCGCTTCTAATCGTTTTCATCTGCTGAGCTGAGCGGTCATACTGGAATTCTATTCCAAGTGAGACGGACAGGGATGACTTTTTCCTTCTCTATCATTACGTTGGCTTTCTCTCAATCTCTGTCATTATTCGCCGGCTTCCATCTTGACCTTCAAATGCCTTCTTCTTCATACCGTCACCGGGAGGAAATGGGAAGAATTCAAAATTGTTGTGATGCTTTCCGGAATATTGTTTCTGCCTCGCACCCATCTTGGCTAACGAAGTGGGGAAACCAAGCGGTGCAAAGTGCTTTGACCTGAAAGGTGTCTGGCTCACCTTGTCGCTACCTTCTCGGTGTTTACGCCGCGGGGAAACGGCGGCGCCCGAGGCCGCGTCTGACGGGTGCATCTGTTCGTGGCTGATCCAGACGGAAATATCTCAACTGTGTCATGAATATATCACCGTGACACCTGAAGCAATCATTCCTGTTCCCAGGAGGTCTCCGTTCATTGCACAAACATCAGCAGGACTTTTTTGCACAGATCACACACGACTCACACAAAGTTCGGCTCCTGGGCTGTCGGGTAAAATTGTCGAGCGAACCAAAAATGCTCTATCGCCTTTTACAGCTGAACTTCATTTGATCTTCTCTAAACTTTTAAATGTGCGGTGTCACTGCTGAATTATTCCGTGCCAAAATTCGAAGGATGTCTATTTCTATGCCTTTCTGTGACTCTTCCAGTGTCCAAAATGTGAAGAGTATGATCAACAGGATTGTCAGTGTATGCAATACAAAATGATTCACTCCAATAACAGTATGATACGATTCCTTCCAATTACAATTTGATACAATTCTTCACGCTTATGCCACAATTCCCTCCAGTTATGAGACAATATGATTCACTTCTATTGTCGGACAATGTAATTGACCCCAATTGCAATATGAATCGATGATGGGGTGTCAAACACATTTTTGTCACGGGCCACAATGTAGTTACTGTTTCCCTTGGAGGGCCGTTATGACCATATAAAGAATTCAAGAATCACATTTTATTCAACTATTGTTTAACTTACTGTAATGTGGGATTGGTAACTAGAAAATGCTGATAATATCTCTCATTTCTTACATTTGACAATTTGAAATGACAGATTTTAACAAGCCTCATAGAAGTTGACATGTTTGATTTGCTTTCGCGGGCCACATAAAATCACCTGGCGGGCCAGATCTGGCCCCCGGGCCTTAAGTTTGACACCAGTGCAATACAGTATGATTTACACACGTACACAACAATAAACACAATGTACTAAGATCTGATCATAGGGATATCTTTTATTGAACCCTTTAATACACAAAAAATGATCACCTGTAACCTGATAACCTGATAAGCTGTCCACTGTAGTAACTAACCGCTGTCCCTCAAAGGCTTAAACACTTCTTACAGCAGTCAGTGAAACATAGTGAAGTAACCTTGGGAAGGAAGCTAAATGAATGCGCTCGCAGGCCACCGCGTTCGGGTCACAAAATGATGATGACCAATACACGAGCCAATAAATATATTTCCTGATGAATAACTCGCCGACGGTGAGCGTTATTATTTTTCTACAGGCAGATGTTTTGATAGCAGATTTCATTAGATCGGCAACCTGAAACCGTGGATGTGCTTTGTGTAACGTTATTAGAATTAATGTGTGTGTTCTACTTGGTCAAACAAGACCTTTAACAAAACGATGTTAATGACGATAGCGCTATTGAAAATGAATTCATTCAAATGCGCCGGTGCCATCCATTCATTTCAAACGCCCTCCGCCCCCTCCCTTTGCCACCCCACCCAAGCCCTCCATCACCTCATCCATCTCCTCCCCCCTGCCTGTATTAGCCTTAAATGAAAAACAACCTTTTATCTGTGTGATTCCATTTGGACGCATGGCAAGGAGAAGCCTGGCATCGCGGCCGTCGCCTCGCATGAAGCAATAAGGCCGGGAAGCCATTTGACTGTTTTCCAATTTAATTTCATAGTGAATAACCTGCAATTTGATTTTTATTCTCTTCCATCACGGAGATGGAGATGGTTGGGGGGGGGGGGGGGTCGTGTTTTTGGAGGGAAGGCGGGTGTTGCGGGGTTCGTGGTTATGTGATGTCTTTCAATGCCAAGAGTGGCGGCCATTGACGTTCTTCGACAGAAAATGGCTCAACCTTTGTCTGTGGCGCGATCGCAGTAGTGACATCCAATGTCAGTCGATAGCAACGCATTTGTGCTTGTGTGTTGGAGTGGTTCTTGACGTAAACGAGCAAATGAACAAGACAGAAGCGTTTCAGGAATTTGGCGAAATTGCATCGTTATGTTTCTGCCAGTAGAGGCGCCTACGAGTCTCTTCGTCACATACAAAACATTTGGTCAAGGCCTTTCTTATTTGAGTTTGGGATTTTATGGTGAGCCGTCGAACTTTACCGCCACACTCCAACCGCATCCAAAGGGGAAAATTCAACTATTTTGCAGGTTTGCATCATCTGTCTGTCTCGTACTTGTGGTTCAAATTTAGAAGCAACTAAGCTAAATCTTTAGGATGAGTTTGTTTTTGAAGAACCATTAGGACGCGAAAATTGCTGCTTCAAAACCAAAATGGCAGACTTGCCGTGTATTTGTGATCGAGCTACCTACTAAATTTCAAGCTGATCAGTGAAATTGGCTGGACGGATTTTTTTTTGCTCCCCAATCTACAACTTTGTATTTGGAGGTTCCCTGAAAGTGACCCAAAAATATGACGGCCTTTCTATTTCCAAGCATGGCTTCTTGAGCCTTTTTTGTGTGTGTGTGTGTGTGCATGTAGTCATGATAGACAGTTCCAACAATTTTTTCTTCATCAGTGAAACTGGCTGTAGTTTCAAAAAACAAATGTTGCAATCTCAAGCCGCCGTGAAGGATCCCTAAAAATGACTCTTAAATAGACGCTTCAAACCAAAATGTCAGACTTCCTGTTTCTTTTCTGGCATTGCTTCTTGACCCTTTTTTTGTGCCTGCTAGTGAAACACATGCCTACCAAATTTCAAAGTGCAACGTGACTCTGGCTTGGGGAGCAGAATTAAGAAGACTATTTCAGGGTGTGTCAACCAGCTGACTACTTGTCTATTGAAAGGATCCATGGCTGTGACCCCAATATGGCCACTTCAAACTAAAATAGCAGACTTCCTGTGCATTTTCAGGCATACTTCTTGAGAGTTTTTTTTTTTGCGGCTGTGCTTAGGATAGACGAAAGCTCATGCTACTAAGTGAAAAGCGCTTTTGGGGCTGATTTTAAAGTTCCCCTGTTAGATTTCCAGAGTGAGCTATTTTTGAAGAGAAATATTCCCTCTAAAACGGCTGCCAGTCTGACTTCCACTGACTTGCTGTCTTTTCTTCCCAACAGCAGATCCAGGACGCGGCTGAGCAGGGTGTCACGTTTGTGGGCTTTGTGCAGGAACCCTACGGGGCACCCTGCACCATGATCCGAGAACCAGACACCCCCTCCCTGTCCCTGCACTCCAGCCCCAGCTCTGTGCTGGGCTCCCTCAGCAGCTGCAGCCCCTCCGACCCGTCCAGTCCCGCCCGCCACGGACGTCCCGGAAAGGATACGGACACGTGCAAGAACTCCGGGAATCACTCGGGGGGTTTGGGCGAAGTCTCAGCCGCCTCGTCTCCGATCTCAGAGGAGCTGACGGGGGAGGAGCTGCCATGCCAGAACAACAGCAAGGACAGCGCACCGGAGACAAAGCCGAGGACCAGATACCAGCAGAGATCCTACGGTGAGTTGTGGTAACCATGGTGACTGTCTTTCAACAACCCCCCGCACCCTCGAACAAAATAAAATCAATAGTTTGAATTTGGAGGCCCGTTTCACTGGTTGCAGCCGGGATTTCTTTCATGCAGACATTAGCAAAGCAGGACATTGCCGCAGCCTTCCACCAGAAAAAAAAGTGTAATGGGTGATAAACTTGTCACTCTTATCCTGGTTTTCAGACGGTTGACTTTAAAAGGCAGAAGGAGCCGAGAAGAAGCGTTCGTGTTGTTTCATGTGTCTGCAAGTTATCCCCCCTTGCCCCCCCGCCCCCTTACCCGCTACACTAATTGGTCCGTGGAGGGTCGTCAAAGGTCATCATCCCAGCTTGTGCGCAGCTTGTAGACCCCCAAAGACACGGTGGACATGTTTATCCTGCCCGACAAATCCAAACAATCACAATAATAAGGATGTCGCACTGAACACTAACAAGCTGTAATGATGTACAGCGAAAGGTCAAGACAAAACTGCCTGAATTATTTGTCGGAACTTTGATTGTGAATGATTTCAATTGCTGTTTGTTTCCAGTGTTGTTCATCATGAATAACTGAATCGGAACAATCAGTGACGCATACAGTTTTTTGGATTATTTGTATCTTTTTGCATTAACAGTTACACTTTTAACATGGCCCACCAACACTCCCTTTTCTATTTTTGTTTAAATAACATTGCAGGCCATGTTCTTTTTAGCATATGCCGTGGGCCACGAAAAAAAAATGGATGGTGGGCCGTAAAAGGCCCTCGGGCTGTAATTTGGACATGATCAGACCTTCGGGGGTCAATTGAGCCCAAGCACAGCACAGCGTGGCGACCCCTAACTTGTCTTGACTTGTCTTTGGGGCTGTTGAAGTCAACATGTGTGCAGCCTTCTGGTTTCCCGCTATTGCCTCAACATTACACAATAACACTCTGCCTCGGGATATAATCCTCTTTCTCCAAAACAACCATTAAATTAAAAAGAAAGAAATAAAAATTCTTCAACAGAATCCCAATTAGCAAAGCGACGTCTGTGAAATAATCCGCAACTGTTTCGTCGGGTTCCTCGCAGGGCTCATGTGATTCTTCACGCCTACCGTCTATCCAGAAAGGCCGTGCGCAACTTTGAACAGATGGAGACACCCACTTCTTCTTCTGTATACCCGTGCCTCTAAAAATACACTACAGCTTTTGCAAAATACTGTAAATATATGTGTGACATGTATGTAACATGGCATGACAAGTGTCTCCATCTGGGCCTACGCATGAGATCCTTCCCGAGTTTTGCACCTCCGCTGGCTTCCATCTTTCTTGCCTCATCTTGGCTAACGGTAGCCCAGATGGTGTGCGAAAGGGTAACGGCCCGTGTGCCAAGCTCCCATGTTCCCGTGTTCTCCCTCTCTAACGTCCCGAGGTTCTGCTGGCTTGTCGGCGCTTAATCCCGAGCGTGGTGGCCAGCGTTGGCACGTCAAAGAGAGAGGAAGCGAGACATGACGGGGAAAGCTTTGGTAGGCTGGGATTGAGCTGTCCCAGAAGATCTCCCTCGCTCAAATTAGACAAATGTAACATTAATAGCTTGAATCGCTCTGTCCTTTGACTCATGTGTGACTATATATTATATCTTGTCCAAGGTGGCAGTTATCATGAATAACTAGGAGCCATCAGAATGTCAGCTCGAGTGACGAGGCCAAAGTTTTAAATGAAGAGTGTTGTGTTTAATGTTAGGATAAGCGGCTCAGATGATGAATGAAAATAAATGTTTAATGTAGTTAGCGGTGATGCCCTCCAGGTTGGCTGCGAACGAGATAAGAACAATTCCTGAAGCAGCAGTCTAGTTCAGAGTGAGCGAAAGAGAGAGAGAGAGACACACACAGAGAGGCGTACGAGTGGCCGGTACGGATTTGAATGTACATGTTGAAGGAAACAGCGATGATAGAAGAAGTGTCGGGTAGGTGTATTGTCAAGTCCCAGCTGTTGTCACTTGAAATGATAGAAAGTCGATCACTCAGGAGGAGACAAAAGGAAGATGAAGTGGGCAAACCAGGAAATGAAATGAAGCGTATGAGCTTCTGTGTGAGTCACTGGTGTCAGAAAGCCCCAAAAAAACTAAACCGTTACCCAAGTGGAGAAACGGGAGACTCATCGAACAATACCACTGGTGGGATACTGTTAGAGTAATTGTACACATGCTCATGCTATTAGGCTAACGTACAATGCTTAATTTTCTAATGCTTGTCGCAGCTTACATTCGCTCAGCTATTAGCTTAACATGGTAATGCTAATATAACTGATGTGCAATGCTTCGTATTCGCATGTCTTAGCTCCACGGTGACGTAGCTCCTAGCTTAGGCAACACGCTAATACTAATGTGCGACACTCTGATGATTTTTCAAATGTTCAAGTGTTCATTCTACTCTCGCCACTTGCTTCGCAATTAGCTTGGCATGCTAAAGCCATCATTAAATGTCAATTGCAAAGTCAATGCTTGTGGCCTGCAATTGTGATGACTTGCAGCCACGCTAGCCTAACCTTAGCCTTTCTTAGTTTCGCTGCTATTTCTGCCATTTGATTATTTTGTTTGGTGGGGGTGAAAACCTTGTTTAGAAAGGTGGAGGCAAGCAATGGAAAGAAGAGGGATGAAGACTAACCAAAGTACAACAAAATATACGCGCATGGAATAGAAGGCTGGAGGGAGAAGAGATAACAAAGTTGGAGGACTTTGATGATGACCATAATGAGCATTTTAGTGCTTTTCTCCGGAACGCAAAGACAGATCAGGCGTCTCCATTTTGGACTCTAAAAGCCGCAAAATATGCCGAGTCATCAGAGGAAGGTCACACAATGCTTAGCAAAGACAATTTATTTGTCTTTATTATCTGTGAACTGCAAGGCCCCACTAAAAGATTGATGTTATTTGCTGGTGAGGCAATTGTAGATAAAGAAATATGTGCTATCGTAACAGTAATCTGCTCATCTGGAGTTTGCACTTTCAGAGGTTGGGCATCATCTGATATCATATTCTTCAATGTCGCATCACCATTTCAAAATCGGGCCGCGTTTTCATTCTCATCCACACAAGTGCACAATCAATTATCTTTATTTTGGGTCTCCTGCAACATTACATTCTTTACTTTTAGTTTTAGGTGGGGGAATAGGTTATTGATTTTGAGAGCAACAGAAAGCACTCCTGACTCATGATTATTTCTAAGTTGTTCTGTTGATCTCTATTGTGCCGGTTGGTGGTTATTTTTAAAAATGAATGAGGTGAGGCTTCGCCTTAGGACATTCTGCTGGTCCTTCTGGTGTACGCACCATGGCCACTCGGCGGACATAGCAAAGGCCTCGGTTTCTCAGTAAGTAAATGCTGCTTCACCATGTTTGCTTTGAAAAACACAATGTGTCTTATTTTGTTTAAATTTGACAGTAAACTTCAACTTCTTACTGTGCAAGATGGCGGTTATCATGAATACCAACTATGGGCAACGCTTGGTATTACTGCTTCGTATCAGGCGCGGAGCTTGCATGATGCAAGCGACCCACGACAAGTCCTCAAAGATGGATGTGTTTGCCTGGGTGTCATTTGGAAATGAACGTTGGCCAATGTTGTGCTCGTTTGCCTCGTTAGAATTCCACAGTGACTGGACGAAATGTCAACATTTGGGGGCAAAATTTGGCGTCCGGCCGCCGCGTCCGTCACACCAGCCTGACAGGAAGTGCTTATGAATGATTCATCTCTGCCGACACCGGATCCAAGCCCTGACGCCATCACTGTCGCATCCAACTGTGTGTGTGTGTGTGTGTGTGTGTGTGTGTGTGTGTGTGTGTGTGTGTGTGTGTGTGTGTGTGTGTGTGTGTGTTTTCATGACTTCATATGTGTGCTTTTGTTGAAATTGATAGTGTGTGGTGTTTTTAACATCCGCTCCTGCATGTGTTGCATGTTGAGGCTTCGTTTGTGGGTTTTTTTTTTTTTAGTGTTACGATAGTTTGTTTTCTTGTACATCGGTGTGTTTCAGGCCGTGCGCCTAGGAGAAAGGCCATTTGTGCGTATCCTTGAGTTTGCGTGTGTACGTGGGTTTCTATGTGTTCATGTCTGTTCATATGCTTGTGTGCTTTTGTTTGTGTGCTCTGGTGGATCTGTTTTCACGTGGTCGTGTGTGCTCATGTTTATGCGGATGTTGTTACTGTGTAAGTGTCCTTGTGTGGGTGTTCACATTAGTGAGTTTGCACATGTGTGTTTTTGTGAGGGTTCGTGTGTGTGTGTGTGTGTGTGTGTGTGTGTGTGTGTGTGTGTGTGTGTGTTTATGTGTGCTGCATGTTAGTGTACGTGTCCATGTGTTTCGTAAGCATGGATGTGTGTGTGTTCATTTAAATGTGTTTTTGTTTTCTTGTGTGTGTGTGTGTGTGTGTGTGTGTGTGTGTGTGTGTGTGTGTGTGTGTGTGTGTGTGTGTGTGTACATAGTAATCTTTACATAGTAAAGAGCGGACGCAGTCAGTCTATCTATTCAGCGCGGGAATGAAAGGCCGCTCAGCCTATAGAGCCAGACTGTATAATCCTACGTTAACCAATCAATATCGGCTGAAATCCGGCTTTTCCCGTCCCTCCACTACCGGAATGTGTGTGTGTGTGTGTGTGTGTGTGTGTGTGTGTGTGTGTGTGTGTGTGTGTCTGCGCGCGCACCAATTTTTGGTCATCTGCCATTCTGCTGGTCCATCTGGTCAACTGCGGTTCAGGTGCACTCATCAACCACCTCCTTCATCTGCTCAGCGCTCGGCTACACTGCTTTTGTCTTTGTTTTTGCTTGTTGTTTTTTTTTCTCCGTGATTGCAAGCAGAGCAAAAATATTTCCACCAAAGTAAGAGTGAAAAAAAACCTCCCACTTGGCTCGTCTTTGATACGGGGACACATGCGTTCTTTTCTCTTCTCCCTCCTGAGGGCCGTCTGCATTATGTATACGCTTCCTCTTGATGTAAACAGCGGGCTGGCGGCAGTGCCTTTAATGCATTATTCACTCAACTCTAGCCGCAAATTAACTTACAGTGTAAACGCGCCCTCTTAACTTGCTGCATTCCTGGAAAAACAATGGCAGGAAATTCCAAACTGCTTTTAATTCGCCGCACGTTTGGATCGGACAGAAGAGAAGCGACAAAGGGGTTGGGGGGGGGTTGAGGGGAATGGGGATTTTTTTTGCAGATCAGCACATATCGCGTCCGTGGAGCGTATGCTAATGATACAGAGCAGACGGAGCAAAGAGTCGTAGCACGGCAAAAGATCTGACTTAGTTGTAATGAACCGAATGACTTAGTCGTCTAACAGTAAGCCAAATAAAAATGTCTGCGGCAATAGCGAAAACCATGCAAGACGTTACATTGTCCGTCTTTTGTGTCCACAGGGGCTGAACTTTTGGCTTTGTATAACCACCCGGCGGCGCGTGAGGGCGGCACGGTGAAGTACTACACGGTCAAGGTGCCGCTGCGGGTGCATGCCGGCGTCAACGGCAGCGGCGACGACGTCCGAGAGGTGGAAGCCAATTGGCTGGATCACATGACGCAGCACTTTAACAACGGAGCCTCGCTGGTCGACGGGCACTTCCACCTGGGAAACGTTGATGGTAAATAAACGGGTGGTCGTGTTGGTGTGTCGGGGCAGGACACGATGTTGTCTGGGTTTTCTTCTTGGCATCCAAACTATTTCCTGTTTGGGTTCTTTGGCAGGCTTTTTTGAGGAGTTGGGGGCAGTGAGAGTAAACAAATTTTTCATTCATCTGGCAAAGAGAACGTCTGGAAAAACAGATTATGAAGTTGATAACAGATTAAAGCCTCATTTCCAATTTGGGTGTTGACAAAATAGCAGGGATGTTTATTGTAAGAATAAGAATTAAAGCTGCAAGTAGAAATTGGATCTTTCTCCCGTTGGCTGGATTCCGTTGAAGGAGTTTGTCTAAATCCAAACTTGCAAGCCCTGGAATTTGACCAAAATGTCTGATTCAAACTAAAATGGCCGACTTCCTTTTCAATGTCAAGCATGGGAGCGTTTTTCGTGTGTCCTTGTTATGCTGTCTACCGAATTATCAGTGAACGTATTGTCACGAGCAAGGCCATTGTAGCGAATAAAAATGAACAAAATGAGAGAGTAAAATTGAAAAAAATGAAACAATTTTTGTTCATGGAATAAAATCTTGCACTTGAAAAATATTTCATAGAATCAAAAAACTACTCCTAAAACTAAAAACAACTAAACTGAAACATTTTGGGGGGAACAAAAGACATGCTCTAAATACTAATTAAGGTAAATTACAAAAAACAATTTAGCGGCACCTCGCTTGGATACCTGCTTCCAACTCGCTCATTTGGCTCGAAATGGCCGATTTCGAGTTCTTTTCTATTTTTTTTTCCAAGTGCTACGCAGCGATTGGCCGATCAGCATTCCAGGGGGTGTGGCTTAGTGACAAGGTTGATCAGAAAAGCTGGACCAAAGGATATGAGATGGCTTTTAACGCCGGGAATGGAGCGTGCAACTAGACTCCACATTTTTATTCACCCAAGAGTTGTTTCGGTCCAAATTGTAAATTGAGGTATTGTTCAAAGTTCAAATTGGCATACTACTGTCAAACATGTATACATACATGTGCACGGTGTGTTGGTCGAGGCCAAGTGTGTGTTCATATGTGTGTGGAGCATGTTCCGTGTGCATTTTTTTTTTGTATGTGTTTTCATCTGTGTGCTTCACTGTGGCCGCAGGTAATAAAAACATATCGAATTTACTGAAAGCATTAAAAATTCATATACACTCAAACACAGGAACGTACACAAATGAACACATACACGCACGAGCGGACACACACAAACACGTTGCCACTGCCTCCCGAGAGTGGAGTTTCCTAACGAAAGGACAGCAGAAGTTAAAAAACGCGACTGTGCTTTTTGTTACCCGAATAGCTTAATCCCTCTCCAGAGCTGCTGTGAGGATTTGCAGCCTTATTTTTCTTTCCTTTTTTTTTCTTTCTTGTCACACACACGCCTGAGCTGCTATTCAACATGCGCCACACTCAGCCCACCATGCGATCTAAATTTGGGCAAAGACGACAAACAAGGTGCCGCTGAAGTCAGCCAATGTGCATTTTTTTTTTAATGTAATTAAAAAAAATAAAATAAAAAAAAAAAGAGCTTGTGAGACGTTCAAGTGCTTGAAGAAAATGCAGGAATAATGTCCATCAAAGAAAGGACTCTTTTAGATTGCCGAATATCAGCCCTTGATATTAAAAATAAATGAATGGGTCACTTGAAAAGGAATGAATGTATTCAAATCAAATGAAAGTTATTAAATTACAATGAATTGAATGTATTAAAATTGGTTTAATCATATGAAACTATTTTTTAAATTAAAATTAAATGAACGTATGCAATGAAGATTAAATGAATGAATTAAAATTAAGTGCGTTTAACTGAATCCATAATTAAATTATTTTTTAATTAAATTTGAATGAATGTTTAAATCACTTTATTAAATTAACACTTCAGAATGTATTCAAATTAAGCGCATTCATAAATTGAAATTAAATTACATATTGATTCAGCGTATGAAATGTTCCTCAAGTGCACTTTTTTTTTTACATAGTTGAACACTTTGTGAAAAAAATACATTTACAAACACAGACACTGACCGCACTGTGACTCCACAGTCTCCACTTAACTGCAGCCATTCATCCTGACTGCCCTAAATCTCCTCCAGAATGAAACTAACCTGCTCCTGACCACATTCAAAGTTAATATGACTGCGACTGATGCGTTCAGTGTTGCTTGGTTTTTGCAGTTTCCCTATGACTGTTGAAGGTCATGGGGCCACAGTCTCTTCTTTGCTGCATAGTTCCATTTCCTCGATGCCCAAATACAATGCATCTAGTAATGCAGGCGCATAATGAACATCTATGAAGTTAAAGAAAAAAAAAAGAAGAGAGAAGAAGAAGAAGAAGCCAGCAATTATGTAGCGACAAGGCAACCGGCACTGAGCTAATCCTTTTGATACACATTGCAATCTGTGTAGGACTAGCAAAGGATTAGCCTCCTTCCTCAAACATTACAGTCGCTACTGAGCCTTTTGCTTCCTTTTTTTATCACCTACGGCAGGAAATAATCATGATATGATTTTAGTAATTAATTTTGTGCCATCTTCTTGAGCTACTTGACACAGTGAAAATATTAGAAACAGCCATCAGTATGATGAAAACTAGCAAGCACAACAACGAACATATTGTCACTGTCGGGCAGAAACCTCATTTTTTCATATTGGTCACTCCCTGTTTGAGTTCCGCTTCCAAGTTATGAACAAATCTACAAAATTCTTGGAAAAAATGGACCGATACAATGTTGAATGACTTATCAACATTTGCAGGGTGTTTTCCCTAAATTTCATGGAAAATGATGGTTTTGGAGACACAAATTTTTTTTTTCTTGGCAGGGATGATGTAAAATCTGATTGTGTCATCCAAAACTGACCATTATTGTCTTTATCAAGGCAGAAGTCTCTATCCAACACTTGCGTCTCATTTGGTCTCAATGAAGCTCCTCAACTTACTTTCACATAGTTCTTGGCGCCAAGGTGGCTGAAGCAAAAAAAAAAAAGTCCTCGATGTTTTGCTCTTTGGTGCTCAGCACAAAAACAGTAAAAGGATTGCTTTGCCAACAACATATGGCATCTTGGTGTCAAGGAACTATGTGGAAGTGTGAATTAAGGATCTTCAGAACGTCAAAATCTGGACGCAAAACTACTTTGATAAAAGTATTGGCTTTGTCATCATCTGGTAGCATCTTGAGGCCAAGGCACTTGGTTGAAGTGAGCTTCATTGAGACAAAAGTGGTACTTTGTACTTCACCACCATCTGGTGGCATCCTGGTGGCAAGGAACTAGGTTGAAGTGAGTTGAAAAGCTTCACATCGACAAACTAATGATTTCACCATGTTTTGCGGTCTTGGTGCAAAGGAGCTACGTTGAATTAAAGAAGTTGTGCTACGCCGCCAGCTGGTAGTAACTCGCTGCCGATGAACTATGTTGAAGTGAGTTGAAGAGCTTCATTTAGACAAACGTCCTCAGACATCTTTCGGTATCTGCGGGCAATTACAGACTTTTAGCGCGGAGGAATTTTTACTATTTACAGCCATACGAATTCTGCCCAGCAATAGGGATGACCAGCCTGCCAACCAGCTGCGCGCGCGCACACACACACACACACACACACACACACACACACACACACACACACACACACACACACACACACACACACACACACGTTCATCACATCCGTCCCGTCCACTGTGTGAAATATAAATGAGCTGTCAGCGCCGGTCCCGGCCTTCATTTTGAAATGGGCAGACGTGACCTGGTCACACGCTGTCTCCAAGCCTTAATGCGCACCCACTAATGAGCCCAAAATCATGTGTATTTCATTTTTCATTTCACACTGTCATTTATTGATGATTAACCACCCATAATGCATCGCTCTGACATCAGGCATCAGCATTCACCCAGTGGTGTTGCTTTTCTCTGTAAATATGCGTCACTCAAAGGACAGATTGACAGTCGACACCCCAGTTTTGTATCGGTACCTTTCACACGAGGGAAACGGTGGGCACTGTGAAAGGTTCGTTCAGTTTCCGAGATGCTAAAGGCTACAAAATTGTCGCAGTGGGGTTTTCATACGTTCAAGGCACCCATATAAAAAAGACCGTATAAGTTTTGGGAGTTCAGTGTTAAAACTCATACATACTTTTGACGCAATTTAAGTCATAAAATACACTTAAACGTAATGAAACAAAACTTTTTGAAGTATTCTTTTGCGCGTGTTCGCACTACCTTGCTGTCAAGACATCGGAGACTATCGTATAACATCACTTTATAGAAAACGCTTCAACATGGTCGCAATGTTGGGGGATCAAAGCACCAACCGTTGAGCTGTTTGTCACTCCCAGTTAAAGTACTGGAAAAACAAAAGAGAATTGAACACAGAAATGGAAAACAAAACCGAGTCATGTATCTGAATTTTGTCCAAGCATGTCTGCTAGCTTAATGCTAACATATTTAGTGGACACCCACATTTTCATAGTTTTGCGAATTCACCTGTTGACAGATTTTTCAGGGGTACCCGATGCCCCGTTATTCACCTGTGTAGTGTTAAAAAAAAAAAAAAAAAAACAAGCAAAACTTGTACTCTACATTTTTCGATCTTTTCTGTGAGCGTAACAAGCCCAGTGGCAAGGTACATGAAGGACACGGTGCAGCATGTTGATTGGTTGAGAGAGAATGTTCATTCGCAGAATGGGTAGAGGAGCAAAAAAAAAAAAAAAGCAAGAGTCTGGAGGCTTGAATGGGATGGAAAGGGGGGGTCTTGGGGGTCTTGAGTGAACAATGTCTGTATTTGAGCGAGCCAGCAGATGTCTGAAACATCTTCAATTGAAAGTGCACCAGCCCTAATTAGATTTTGGGGAGGCATCTATATGAATCCCCCTCGCTGTCTGTCTGCTTTTCTATCCTCCTTCCTGTCGCTCCAGCCACTGGCACCGCCGCTCCCACCTACCACCCCCCCACCCCCACCCCAGCACTATTATTTGGGTCTCGTAATGAAATGTGGAGTGTCTTGTGTTGCGTCTGGGCTCCGGCAAACTGTATTAGTGTGGAAATGGCAGGGCAGTAATGAGAAAGCACTCAGGGCCAGCCTGGATGTATGTATGTGTGTGTGTGTGTGTGTGTGTGTGTGTGTGTGTGTGTGTGTGTGTGTGTGTGTGTGTGTGTGTGTGTGTGTTTCAAAGGAATAACAAGAGACGTGGGGGGGCGGGGAATATGGGGGTCATGAAGGTCAGTCTGTCTGGGATGTGATGCAGAGGAAATGTATCAGCACTGGAGCATGTTTGAGATCATGTGACTCAGTCACCCCTTTTGCACTTCCTGTCAAAGCCAGCTGTTTCACGCATCGTATACTGCGTGAAAAAATAAACCAAAAAAAAAAATGCCTCCGCATGACCTCAGATTGCCCCAAAATGGTCGCATCTTGCCTGTAAAATGTTGACATGGTGAGTGTATTTTTCATCTACCGGCGTGCAACCAGTAAATTTTCAGATTAAAAAAATAACTATTACTGTCGTACTTTTCTGTACGATAAGTTGTGGTTTTTTTTGTCATTGTTTGGCTGGTCGTGCGACTTGTGTATATACTGAAACTACAGCTCGGACAGAGACCTAAAACCCGTGTTCCCGAATGATGTTGACTTTCTGTGCATTACCGCCACCTTATGTCCACCACTGGTAATGCACCAAAAGTATTTGCCAATGGAAGAAGTGGTAGTAGTAGTTGTCATGGTCATGCATTATCGCCGTTGGCCACCTTCTTTCTAGCATGCTAAAGAAGTTGCCGGTAATGCGCCAAAAGTAATTGCCAAATGTCAAAAGAAAGTAGAAGAAGAAATGGAAACAGAACAAGTTGAGGTAAGCTATATTAAACACAAAAGAAAAAACTGTTGCGTGGTTAGAAGCGAGTCGGAGCTTTACTGTTCTTGTTCTCGGTTTTTGTCAAATGTATTGAGACAAAAATTGTGACTTCCACTCCGAAGCGATTTATGTTTTCTTCTTCTTCTTCTTCTTGCTGATAATCTTGTGTTCCACACTTGGTCCAGTTGTTCGCGATAATGCGCAATGAGCTAATTTGCCAACCCGCATTAACACGAGGATAAATTAGCTCTGCGATTAGCTTTGTGAAAAGAGGCATTGGAGTTCGTTCACAAATCTTCATGTTTCTCACGATTCTTGTGCCGGTATACAATAAATAACGGCAAAAAAGGGCCGACGATGCAAATTTTCTTTCCAATTAACCCCGTGTACCAATGAAGACAAATCCTGATGAGTTCAGCTCATTTTGTGAGGAAACGTTCATGGTGAAAAATGCAGAAAATCCTGTCCTTTTCCCAAATGTGACAAAAATCAAACTTATTGAAGCAATTGTTGGTGCAATCCTCGTATGATTGTGCCAATGTTCCACGAACGTCGTCCATTTCGATGAGCCTGAGGCTTCTAATACTCTCACGCTCGCTCATGTAAATGTTTTTCTTGGTTGGTTGATGGCCACTTTGTCTTCCTTCCTCTCTCCAGATTTGCTTCCCAAGTCGGTGGAAAGCGTCTTTGTGTTCGAGGAAGCCAGCGAAGGCGAAGCCAACACCACCTACGACGCCATCGTGGTGGAGCAGTGGACCGTGATTGACGTCAGTGCAACTTTTCGCATTCCTTCTGATTTTTAACAACAATACCGATGACATATTTTGCTGGTGGTTCTTGTCAACCGCTTACAAGTGCATGAACGCTCTTGATTTTGTATACCATCCAAAATATTGCGAGTTTTCTACTAATATTTTCAGACTCTGATTCGGATGTCGATATCCATGTCCACAAAAATTTGGTTGACAACAGCTAAGGTTTTTTTCTCGATGAGGCAACTAGAAGAGGCAAACTTACTACATGGATAGATAGAAAAATATATATATATTGAGTGTTTTCCTTCTGATATTTTCAGAGTATTATTAGTCCATGCCAAGTTATGTGGACCTAAATTTTGGTGACAATCGATCACAGTTTGCCGCCTTCATGGAATGGGTTGCACCTGCTCCATGGACCATGAGGCCGGCTGCATTCGCCAGCGGTGGACGCCGTCAATCTTAATTTTCTTTCTCAAAGTAACTTATGAAACCTGTGACAGTTGGGGAAACTATGGCAATACTTGATGACATTTTTATAGCACAAAAAACTCGGGAGCAAGCCCAAAATTAACATTTGCGTGATTACGCGAATCAGTCAAAAATGTCCCAGTACGGTGGCATTCGGTTGTATGTCATTATTCCATTGATATTTGCACTTTTTTAATAGAAGGAATTTTGATTGGTGTCTTGCTTTAATACAAAGAGACCAACAATTGTGTCTTTTATTTGAAGATTTCGACTTTTTTTTTTTGGTTTTCTTTTGCCCTTTGTTTGGTTTTTATTGTTTGCGGAATGAAACATGGTAACATGCGGTACATCTTATTGACACATTGACTGTGTGCGTGTGTGTGTGTGTGTGTGTGTGTGTGTGTGTGTGTGTGTGTGTGTGTGTGTGTGTGTGTGTGTGTGTGTCAGTAAACGAGCGCTTATCTACTCCCGATTATATCTTCTGTTAGCAAAGGTTTGGTGTTAAAATGGATTTCTGCCCAGTGTGTTTAAAAGAGGTGTGCGGTTGTCTGCTTGTCCATGTGTGTACTATATACCGTACATGTGTGTACGTGTATACAGATGCTATCTCGCTAATGGAATTTAGAATTTTCTAAGTGTGAAAGGACGTTCCCTTGGCCCAGCAATTCACTTCTTGACAGTCCGCCGGTGCGCTTCGAGTCATCAACGAGCGAAAAGGGAGGCGACTTGGCGAAAGCGCAGCCAATCAACTCACCAGTGAAACAATTACAATTGCTGTTTCACACATTGTAGTCCGGGCAAAAGCTTGAAAGTTGTGCAACTTTGGCAGAGCGCAGCTGACAATAATGGACGGAGAAATAAGAATTCACCCACCACGGGTTCTGATATTTCGTTCAAATCCTGCGAGCTAGCTAAACGTTAGCTTCTACATAAGAAGCCACATCAGCAACCTAAGTCAACCCTTCTCGGATCTCTGATTTTCTCTCAAAAGCTCCAAACCACTGCAAAAGCCTTACTTCCTTGATGTAACTCAACCAGAATATTTCCTTTTAAAAAATATCTCCGTGGTAATCCCGATGTTGGGAGCATTTATGAGTCTAAATCCGTTGCGTTCGCGTTACGCGAGGCTCTTAGCGGTTGCTGGGGAGCATTGCTCCTTCCTTCCCTCCTTATCAAAGTGGCAAAACCTGACAGGCCGAGCGCGACCTCTCACACGGAGCGCCGGTGCAAATTAGCCCCGCTGCTATCTGGGTCGCCTCTTCTCTCACCTCCGCCAGGGAGAACTGAGATATCACACACTGCAAGATGTGCGACATGCAAGCTGCTAGTGGTGACGTGTTCGTCGTCAACTTGGAAGAGGCTTCCTAGAAGGCATACATGAAAACAAACGTAATACCTTTCATACCTGAACAGGATGTAAAAAAAAAAAAAAAACAAATTCTATATTGGTTGGCAAATTTTACCACCATTTAAAAACTGCGGAGACCTGAACAGATGTGTCATCTTTAAACAAAACAGCCGCTGAAACTCGAAACTCTGCCCATGGATAAAAATGAAGCCAACGAACACACACAAAAAACAAAACAAAAAAAAAAAACGAGCTGAATTTTGACATGGTTTTTGACAAAGAGGTTTTTTTTTTGTGTTTTGAAGTGAGAGTTTAACACCGTTGACATTTGAATGCAGAATGTGTGCAGTTGTTTACTTGGCAAACACATTTGCTGCTTATCACTTATTTTTCTTGCCTGACATTTTTATGTTTATTTTTCCACTTTTCCCTCCGGGCTGCGTTTTGGCTCGTACGTCACTGAATGAGTTTTCATTGCATTTAAATCTTTGTGATGTTTGACATTTATTGTGTGTGTCTGTTTGCGAGCCTCATTACCTTTTCCCATTTATATGTCTTATCAAAGTGCATTAATTCAGACTTGATTTGCTTCATTTCCTGTCGGGGCGACGACTTCCTTTTATTACATTTTGGTACGTGCGTTTCGACATCGGTCGTAGGCAATTTACATGAAAAATGTCAGCATTTGAGTTTCTTTCACACACTTGTATGAAATTACAAATTCCACAGATCGTTTGTCTATTTCTGCAAACGTGTCCGCGAGCAAGCTCTTCATTTATAATGAAACTTCCACTAAGTCACGTGGGAGAATCTCAAATCTCGTGATAATTCCTCTCAATCACACAAGACTTGAATCACAAGACAATGACAAATCATGCAAGACGTCATCTCAATCACACAAGACAAAATCAAGTCTCGCCAAACTTTGGCTAAATCACAAGAGGCAGCGTCGAATATGCCCAGACTTACGCTAAATGACGCTGTACTTGCGCAACATCATGTGACGTGATGTCAAATGCCCCAAAAATGCCACCACATCACACAAGATAATCTGAACTGTTGCGAAACCCATTTACCGTATTTTCCGCACGATAAGGCGCTTCGGAGTAAAAGGCGAACCTTCAATGAATGGCCTATTTTAAAACAGTTTTCATATATAGGGCTCACTACATTATAAGGCGCATAGAATAAAAGCTACGATAATGGCTGCGGTTGTGGTATGCATCCACTAGATGGAGCTACACTAAAGGAATACAATACAATGCCGCTTTATTTATATAGAGCTTTCACAATAGTTGCAGCTGTAACAAAGCGCTTTACAGACATTTTAAATACTATGTCCCAAGAAATTAGAATATTGATCCATATATAAGGTGCATCGGATTATGAGGCGGGCTGTCGGCTTTTGAGAAAATTGAATGGTTTTCGATGCGCCTTATAGTGTGGAATCTACGGGTATTCATTTACAAAAAGCGCAAATTTCATCAGCGTTCCGCCAGATCGTGGATCTCAACTAATTCACATGTATGTTAAAAAAAAATAAACTCAAATCTCCCAAGACTCTGGCTAAATCAAAATATCCATCACGTCTTGTGAAAAATTCAGCTCAATTACGCAGGGGTTCAGTTACATCACGCGAGGAAGCCCATGAGCCCCCAGAATTTACTTTAAATCTCACGAGATTCCTGTTAAATCTCATGAGACTTCTGAAATCTCACAGTACTTCGACTCAATCACGTGAGACAACCTTAAATCTTAAGACTTCTGCTCTTACTTTGGGATCCACATGGACTTTTTTTTCATGAAAATTATTCCTAAAATAAATATGTGGCTACGGCCAAAAAAATAATAATCATAAAAAAAGGCAAACAGCAAGACGTGAACCGCAAAGCCACAAAGTGAGCAATTCCATTGTGCAGCCTGTTTGTTCAAGGTCTTAGCGCGCTGACAAACTCTCGTCATCATCTCAGCGCGTTGCTATGTTGACTCATAGCAACCGGGGGATTTTCTGCGGCGCTTGATTTTATTTTCCCAACCTCTGCAGCAAACTCCAACACGACGCAAAGACCTTGCATAAAAGCGCCGACATGCACATCATCGTATCTAAGAGTCGATGCTGTTTTCAAGCCTCGCTTGTGTCTTGCGGCGCTTGCACGGCGGAAAGTTGATTGGAATCAAACGTTGTGTCTCTTTCCCGTGCAGGGTTTGCAGGTGAAGGCCGATTATGTTCCTCTGCTGCAGTCCTTGGCCATGTACGGCTGGAGACTCACCTGTGTGCTGCCGACACCTGTCATCAAGACCAACAGGTAATGGCCCATATGCGCCATATTTGGCAACAGTGGCGCCACCTGCGATTTTTGGAAAATTCGGACCCGAAGCCCGTTTAAAAAAAAAATCACATTTGGCAGGTGTGTCTATGAGGAGACCCAAAAAAAAAGTCTCAATAAGCTCTGCTTGATAAGACACACGAAGGATTGAAGTGGCCGTCTTAGTCATTCCGAGTGAGCCAACAAATAGAAACTTGTCAGCCGGGTCGCACAGACTGGGTTTTTTTTGTTTGTTTGTTTGTTTGTTGTTGTTTGGCAGCCCGGTGGTCGAGTGGTTAGCGGGTTGACCTCACAGTGTAGAGGTACTTGTGGATTCCTGTGTGAAGTTTGCATGTTCTCCCCCGCGCCTGCGTGGGTTTTCTGCGGGTACTCCGGTTTCCTCCCACATTCCAAAAAACATGCATGGCAGGCTGATTGAACACTCCAAATTGTCCTTGGGTGTGAGCGCGGATGGTTGTTCGTCTCTGTGTGCCCTGCAATTGGCTGGCAACAGGTTCAGGGTGTCCCCCGCCTACTGCCCGAAGACAGCTGGGATAGGCTCCGGCACGCCCCGTGACCCTTTTGATGATAAACCGGTTCAGGAAATGGATAGATGGATGTTTAATTCAGCCTCTAAGGCCAGTTTCACATTGTGAAATGAAACTTAGTAGCCATGTCTTTCATGACATTAAAAAAAAAACGCCGAGATGTTTTCTATTCCAGGTCGTAGCCCAGTTGTAGACTCATGTCGGACATTTTTACGGGTCCATCCAAGACAAACTTGTCCTGCAGATTTTGTTGTATTACTACAAAATTGAACAATCTATACCAGATGATGAGATGGACGATGATAAATTGCAGAACATTTATCTTGCATGGCGTTTAAGCTGAATGACTTGCCAAAAAATGCTAAATTGTAATTGAACTTAATTTTTTTTCAATTTTACTTGGCAGCATGCACTTTGGTAGGCATGTCTCTCATAAGTAGACCCACCAAAAAAGGTCTCAAGAAGCCTGAGAAAAGACACAGGAAGTCTGCAAAGTTTGAAGCGACTATTGAAGGGATGTTCTGGCCATTTACAAAGCCTTTAACCCTTTCAGGGATGGCAGTCACTACAGTGGACGGCTTATCATGTTATCAGGCTACAGGGTGCATGAAAGGGTTTAAAGGCAAACATTGTCCTAAGAGTGTTTGTCCCATTGCTACAAAATATGAACCACATATACTTGAAAGACGGGTAACACAAATTGCGTAACACTTTTGGTTTTGTCATTGAGTGTGTGGATGTGACATTTGAAAATTCTTCATCGGCTTTTCACACTTGTTTTTTTTGTGTCTGTACTGACGTTTCTCTCACCGCCATGTGGCCTAGATTGTATGAAGTGGAACATAGCCAGCGTGCACACCTTGTCTTGAATTGCGGTTCAAACTTCCTGCTCTAAGACGTTGACCTCAATCTGCTTCTCGGTAACTTTTAAAGCAGAGCAGCTGCCACCCGTCACAGGAAGAATCTCTACGCGGAAACACTTTCTCGGCTAAGCCTACGCTGACGCATCACTCGCGGCTGCGGCGACGACGGCGGCGGCGGCATCCGCTTTTGGTTAAGGGGGAGGACCTTGAGGGACATAAACTTCATGTGTGAAAGCTTCCAACGCCTAAATGAAAAGTTCCCCGCCTCTAAATGCTGCGGTACTCAAGCGGGTTGAAAAACTGAAGTCACAGTTGTAGGACAAAATGAAATGATCAACTCGTCGTCGTGCAAAAAAGCAGAAAAGAGAGAGGCGATACAATACGCATTTTCTGACAACACCACAGTAAACACAATTGAGGATACCGATAGGCAAGGTGAATGTATTTATATAGCGCTTTTCACACACAAGCCAACTCAATGTGCTTCACACACCCAAAACGCCTGAAAGCATTTCCAAAGAGAATAATTCTAGACGTTCCAAGGCAAAGCAAAGAGAACAAAAGCACAGCAGCTTATTACAATGACTTCAAAGGCAAGGCAATTGGGTGCAGCATAACAGCTAAATGCCGCTTCACCGTGTTTGTTTCGAAACCTGGGCTCCACCCTATGTTGCAGATCCCAGAGCCCTAAGGGGTATAGGGGTCCCGAATCTTAAAAACAAAACATAATAGGGAGAAAAAAAATTGATCACAAATTCATCTTAAAAAATATGAACGCATGAATATTTCGTCCTGGGAATTGATTTTAGTATGCGGAAGGTTGATATCACGGCATCGATATTTCAATTTCCACCCAATCTGGTGTAAAGGATGCATAAAAGAGCACATTTATATAAAATGTATTCTTATTATTATTATTCCCCCTGACAAAAAGCTGTGATGCGTCCCGCCAATGGAGAGAAGCGTGACATATTTCCATCAGCACCCTGACTGAGCGTTTCACTTTCCTCTCTCACAAGTGATTCATTGTCTCACCAAGCACACCCCGTCCCTCCCTTTTACCCCGTTTACACGCAAAGTGCCTCCATGCCGCAACACAACAGGGCTAATTAATCAAGCCGGCCTCGATAGAGTACAACAGAGCAGCTTATTTCTCACCCAGCCCGCAAACAGTTTGATGATACATTTCACTCCGATACTCATTAGGCTTGTTTGTGCGGCGGCTACCGCTCGCTCGCTCATTGAAACAACATGTCTACAAAGTGCAAATGGCTTCTTTTTTTTTCTTGTTTTTGTCTCATCCGAAATGGATGCTTGCGGACGCTCGGCTGGCGTCTCCGCGCAACATTAACCCAGACGCTCGTCTCGCCTTGGTTGCATTCAATTAGTATAGCTTGTGATTACATTTTGCAGCCATTAAGTCATTTGTCATCATTCGCCAATTAAAAAAAAAAAAAAAAAAAAAAAACGCGGGTATGGCGAGGACACGTAAAAGCCTTGTTGGATTGATAAATGCATAGGAAAACAAAGCTCATGATAAAAACGGGAAAGTTCAAGTACACGATTGCACCTGATGTCGGTTAATATCAATGGGGGGGGGGGTTGAATTGATAATTAACTGATTGCATACCACCCTTTTTCACTGGAGCAACCCCCTCAATCCCTCACATTTTACTGAATTTTGACTGATTTGCAAGGCCCACAGAATTTTCTGTTCTACGGCTTTATAAACATGCGACCTGTCAGAAGAAAGGCGAGACTCTCTTCTTTCAGCAGAAAAAAAAAGTTTGTTTCTCTTTCTCCGTTCGTTGGCAATCAGTATTAGAAAATTGCTAAGTTTTATGGAAAAGGCCGATTTTCTTCAGAAATCCAGAGAAAATGTGCTTTTTGTAAAAGCATACATTTCAAGCATCATTTCAAGTTTGACACTATTTTTTTGCTTTTGTGACAGCTCAAATGCCTCAGTAATGTGTTCCTCCTACAAAACAACATTACAAAAAATGTTTTTATAGCAAAATAATTCATTTGAACGTAACAAAACTTGAACTATGAACGAAAGTGCAATTTGAACAATGGTGGACTTTTGCACCACTGCCACCTGCTGGCCTTTTTTTTTTTTACTATTTAGCATTGCAGTCAAGCCTGCTCCTTCAGTGAGAAGTTGCATCAGACTCTCTCGCACCCTCCCGCATGAAAAAACGTGATTGACGCCTTTAGACGTCATGGGGAGGCGGGGACTATGCGTTAATTGACGCTTTTAGACGTCAAAGGGTTTGAATGAGTTAATGATCATTTAAACTGATTTGACAATCTGTGAGGAAGTGCAATCAAGTCAGCTAAAAGTATGGGGTGTTCTTAAAAAAATTAACATGATATAATTTAATATCAATGGATTTTTGCTTAGGCAAGATTGTCCTATAAATATGATCCTTCTCTCTCATTGCACTTTGCAACGGCGTCGGTGGACCTATTTCTTGTGTATATGCAAGGACACAACATGGGTCGCTTGACACGTTCAACTCTAAAGCAGATTTGTGGTGAAGTCAAAAAGCACATCCAATAGGAGAACGGGCCAGTGGAGTCATTCCAGATTGCTGACAGCAATAAACCGAGCAGCAGTAAAAGCATCCATGCTACATCCTGGTAGGCTGCTAAGCAAACACTTCCAAATATGCGCATGCATGCACCGGTGCGCCATAATCACTGCGCGCCAGACCTCGGTGAACACCAGATGAAAAAGCCTCAACTACCATGAAGCGCAATGCCGGAAAACTGGAGCAGCTCAAGTGCTCCAAAGAAACAAGCAATTACGAAGTGGCACGGTTGAGTGCAGATGACAAAGCTCTCAAGGACAAATCACACAGTGTAGAGTCCGCTGTCTGTTTTAGGAGCAGTTTGTGATTTACCATGGGCTTTTTTTTTTTTTTTAAAGCTTTCTTCCATGTTGCATTATTACGCCATCACATCCAGGTCCATTCAGTAGTGCGTCGATGCGAAGTCTTATTGGAGCAGCAGAATGAGTGTTGCACAAAGGCCTGTCATTTCCTCAACAAGCCGGACTGAAGTTTCTGCTGGGAAAGCGCGCTCGCTTTTTTCGCCTTTGATTCTCCAGGAAGCCGTCCAGCATTCTTGACAGCCCGGAAAATAGCACAGAGAGGGAGAGAGAGCGCGCACGAGGAGGCCGCTAATGGAAAAAGAGATGGTTGGTGAGGCTTTTTGGGTGGTTTCTACAAGTCTCGCATCTATCTGTTTCATGTTGCAAAAAAAAAAAAAGGGACGATTTGTCGAGGGGCTTTTAATGCGTCTGAGCCACCATCAAGCAGCCGCAGCTCTCATTCGTGGGCGATGTGGACGACTTCGTTTTAGCCCAAAACAGCAGGATGGAACATGAAAGCCGTAAAGCGGACGCGAGCGATAAAGCGGTCAACATCAGCCTGTAGCGGCGGATTTATTAAAGAAAAAAAAACAGAGCAGACGTCTCGTTAATGAGTGCGGTGGAAAGAATGAAAGGCGCAGGATCATAGAGGGGCGCCGACCCAAAACCTGACACGGGCCCGTGTGGAAGCGATTGAAGCTTTTGTGAGGTGGGGCGGGAAAAAAAAAAAAAAGATGCTCAAAGGCAAATTACAAAGTGTGTCACTGGCGTGAAAGTGGCGCTGACAAACGATTGCGGTTAAGAGGGCCCTGTTCCGTGAAGCAGGCGGCTAGTCCCTTGCTTATCAAGCGTCTTGTTCTCAAATGCAGACAGGATCGGCGTTTATCTTGCTACGAGACTACAAACGGCTGGACTTGCCAACCACAATGCATCAGATACAAGATGAAACGGTCGTTTTTTTTTTTTGTTTTTTTTTCCATTTGACTGCTCCTTCTTCATGATAGCTTGCACATAACATTCTTAAGCATACGTTTACTTGGTGTCTTGACTTTTAAAGCAGCGCTCTCCAATGTAGTTTGTAACATGGATCGATTTCGTGTCAAGCATTATTTTGAATGTCAGCATAGAAGCCAAGTTTCAAGATATTGCTTTCTTTTGGGGGGGTGGGAGGCAGTTTTTAAGGTTTCACTCATTTTCAAGCCTGTCGCCATTTGTTGCACAAAGCAGCCTTGGTACGGTACAGTCACTTGTAGCAATAAATGTGAATGTAAAGTACGACGGCTGATATTGTCTCTTTAACCCTTTGAGGGACAGCGGTTACTACAGTGGACAGTGTATCAGGTTATCAGGTTACAGGGTGCATGAAAAGGGTGAATGCAGCATTCGTTTTTTTGGAAGCTGTAGCCATCATTTACGCTCCCCAAATATGTTTTTGGGGGTTTTTACAAAATTTTTGAAGGTTTGTGGTACACATACATTTTTTTTTTCGTATCACGTGCCACAGGAAGGCGATATGAATGGATGCACCTGATTTTCAAAGTTCAACTTCTTTTAGACTGCGATGAGCAATGAATTATTCCTCAAATGGCTCAGGCAGCGGTCCGCAGGCCACTCGTTAAGAACCGCTGCTCCAAAGAGCTTTCTCTATGAAAGGTGCTAAGGTCTTGTCTCGCACTTGGAAATCTAAGAATTTCTTCTCCAGAGCAGCCAAGACCAAGCCGTGAAGTATCCCACATCATATTTTTCAACTGCTACCAGAGAAATAATTCTTCTTAAGCTGCTGCGACTGCTAAATACCAAGTGGCTTAGTTGCCAAGTGTACCCACGGCAACTCAGGATGAAAGTATGGATTGAGGATTTTTTTTTTCACTGTTTTATCATTCTTAAGTGTTCACATGTCCAGAATGGAACAACCACCCCAGAAAGCAAAACATCTTGGGTGATGAAACTAGAAGTAGCCTGCGAACCAGCGAACGACCAGATAAAAATACTTTTCAACCTTGGCGGTGTCGTGATCCTCTTCATGCGTGTCTCCAGCAGGTGGCAGACGAGGGCCTTTCCTTCTGTGTGCACACCTGCTGCTAACCTTCATTAGCCACGTATTTAAGGACTGACAAACTGCCTGAAGTTTGTCGGATTATTTTGACCTTGCTGCTGCTCTTGTGTGTCGAGACCTCTTGCTCTCATCACAGTCATTCTTGTTCCCTGAGTACCACGTTTTTTGTAAGTCTAGTCTTTGTTTAGTCATTTGATCTGGCTTTTGTTTTGCCTGCGAATTGGACTCTTGTCATTTCGGTTGGCATTCTCGGTGAACTATTTCCTTGACTTTTGCAGGCGCTTTTTGTGAATGTATTGGGGGGGGTTCTGGATCCTTGTGACCAGCGTTTTCTGTTTTGGACTCTGTCGGCTTTGCGTTTTTGATAATATACATTTGTGTCCTCGCATTTTGTCTGTTTCTGGGTTCCTAAACATGAATTGTGTCATTTCAAACTTGACAGAGAGCTTTGTTTGCCCACCATCCTTGACAGATGTTTGATTTGTTCTACTGACCCAATAAAAATCTGCTAAATTCATCCCAATAGTTTGGATGACTCCCAAGAAATATTTTCTCTCGATGTCTTGATCATGATATTCCCTGTCCTTGTGTCCTCTGCAGCGATGGCAGTCTGGCAACCAAACAGATTGTGTTCCTACAGCGACCCGTCCTGAGCCGGAAGCAGAAGGAATCCAAGGTACGCGACCTCATTTTTTCCTCTCATGGTTTGCTTTGGCTAATGTCATTGCTTCATGGCCGTTTCCACACAGATGTTTTTCCTTTTAGGCCAAATGCAATGACCTCTCTGTGAGTGTTACGGTCAATTCCTCAGCAGTGGGTGAAATGTTGACACAAGTAGAACTGAACATTTTTGTAGATGACCCCGACGAGTCGTGATAACCCCTGAAGCTAACCTTTGTGTGAGTGGAATGACATAACATGCTTAATGGGCCAAAGATTTAGGAGATAGCACAAGTCAACCAGATTTTCTGCCCGTTTTCTCTGCACAACAGCACTTTCTCTCCACCGTTTCCGTCGACAGTTGTGTCCGTGTTTTCTTCACGTATCGTACAATGTCAAATGTTGCCACGCTAACGCAAACTTCCCATGATTGCAGAAACTGATCTTCAAACCTCGCGGTAAGGCCTGCAAAAATGGCCTCAAAAACAAAGACAGGAAGACAAAACCCAAACTGGAAAAAGACATGAAAATTCCCAATCACGGGGAAAAGGTTGGAAATGAGGAAGAAGAGGGGAGGAACGGAGAGAACGAGAAACCAGACGAGCAAGACGGAAAGATTGACGCTACGAGCACCGCCGAGGTCGAAACTGACCAATGGAAAGAGGAAGTAGCTAAAGTAGCAGAAGAGAGAGAAAAGGAAACGCTCGAACTTGACAAAGAGGGATTGACAGATGCCCAGGAAGTCACAGAAAATACCGCTGCTGATGAAAAGGAGGACGGCGGCATCGTGGATGAGCAGGAAGTGGAAGCCGTCGTGGAAAACGGCCTTGAAATGTACGAAGATGAAAATGAAGAGAAACCAGACCAGAAGCAACGCACGATTGACGAATCCGTTGGCCGAGATGTCAAGGACACGAGTATGGTGGCAGATTCCCAGACCCCGACGATAAACGAAAAACAAGAGTAGCCCAGAATTGTGGAAACCCTACCTCGCAAACCTTAAACTCAAGACAGGGTTCACGCTGACCAATTTTTGGGACTCGTGTCGACCTCTTAAATCTGCCAGCTTTCATCCACCGACTCTGCTGTATAACCACACGTCGTGAATGTACCATGTATCCTTGAAGGACCTGAAGGAACCAGATGAAGATCCTCGGACTAGACTTAGACCTAAAACTAGAGCTTGCAGTGTTAGGTGGCCTGCAACTCTCTGCCTTTAAAGCGACAGGGAGTGCCGCATAACCGATGTACGCAGAGAAAAACGTATTTTTGGACTCTCCTTGATCTTCGCTCGCGTTCTGAAAAGAAACATCCAAAAAGATGACAAACCTTAAGTCGAAAGACGAAAAAGAACACTGGCCAACCGTGATACTACTGACCGTCGAAAGACAGAAAAGACTTGTGATCCATTCAATTCTACGCCATTTGAAGTGTTGCCTTGATGAGAAGGCCAACATTTGGGGGCGGGACCCGTTTGCGACAGGCAATCCAAACTAGCGTCAAGAGATCTTCGGAGGCGAGACATCATTGACGGCTTATACTCACCTTGCGTACAGAATGTTCCGGATAAGCACATGTCAAATTCATGGGAATGAAATGTAGCTTTTACCTTTTGGGGATGTTTTTCAATTCGCTGTTCCTGATCAAGCTTGGGGCCATCCGCTAAAAATGTTCGCTAGCTATAGCGTTCGCTGCGAGTCAAAGGTTCGCATTATTTGCATTTGTGGGGTCTTAGCTGTGGGGTGAATTCAAAGAAAGAGAGTTGTTGGTTTACAACTCATGCCCAGGTCATGAATCTAAAAATCATAAATACGGTAAATATTGGTATGAAAACAATTTTACGCCATGAAAAGAGGAGCCCTGTATATGGACTGGGAAGGCAGCGTTACAGTATTTGACACCTTAATCACTGTGGATACTCTGGTATTGTACAACTGTACAGGGGTAGACCCCTCCCCTAAATTGTGATCCAATTATGAATTGTGTGACTATAGAGGTTCTACCTTCGTAAAACACGGCGTCCGAATTTCTGTTCCGACACGTTGAGCTACCTTGTGTATGAAATGCGCTATGTACATAAAGCTGCCTCGCCTTGTCTTACCTTGACAATATAACCGAAATTTGAAACGACGTCTGTCAAATTTTAGGCCACAAATATAAAACAATCTCATGAAAGACACGAAGTATCACGCTAACTGACGTCTTCTCGCACCACCGCGCTAACAAGTTGATTTGTACGCCATTCGTAAACCACGGTATGCTTGGACCGTCATAAAACCCGACCTCTTTTGAGCTGCATGGAGCTGTCTCTTGCCATGATAAGGATTTGATGAATATTTCACTTGTCGGCAACCCTTAAAAAAAAGCAAATACATTTTGAAATGTGCATTCATGCCGCGAGGCTGCCAGTTCGCGAATTGAACTCAAGAAAACGGACACGGGGGTGCCCTGTGGCGCGTAAAATGAAATAGAAATGAATTGGCTCATTTGAAAGTAAGTGCAGTTAGCGTGGCTTTTTTTTTTTTGTACCTCCAGCTATTTCAGCGCTCCTCAGCAGGTGGTGTTTGTAACGATAAGTGAGTCGTGAGATGGCATTTGGTGGCGCGGCCGCAGTGAAAGGCGGGACAGCGGGTGGGTCGCCAAGGTGAGAGGTGGGCACGTCCGCCACACAGATCGCTCATTAGGCCGCTAATGGCTTTTGTCAGTAGGGCATCTGTCAGAAGGAGAGCGAGGGGTTCGCTTAGCCAGGGCGCTATTGACAATAATGCCCACACCAGGTACCTCAATAAATCGCTTTCTGATGTCTCACGCTTTCATGTGAACTCGGAATGATTTTCCTGGTTTGATGGTTTTGCTTTTCAATGTAACAATTACACGAGCTCGATGCGTTGTGTTCGCTCATGTGGTGTCCATGTGTCGAAAAGATTTGTCTGGTGCTGTTTTTATGGAGAGCGGAAAACGCGTGTGAGACCAGCTTAGCCTTAACACCCCAAACTGTCTTGTTTTTTATTTTCTTTTTGTTTTCGTAAGTTACCACATCGCCCCAAAAATATCTGAAGAATTAGCATAGCAAAACCACCTGGGATGTTTTAAAAATTCAACACCTGGACAAAGTGTCACTTGACAACGTAAAATTTGATAGTCACAAGAGTGGTGACCCACAAAAAAGTTTTGAAAAAGATGCCTGAAAATACACAGGCAGTCCATTTTGTTTTGAAAGGACCTTTTTAAGGTCAGTTTCCAGAGATCCTCGACATCATGTGATTTTTGTTTTGTTTTCTTTTCTCTATTTAACCCACTTTGCAGTAAGAAATTTGGTCGAAATATCTATCATGGGTTGACCCTCAGAAAAAAAAAAACAAGCCATGCCTAAAACGACAAGGGAAGTAAGTCAAAGAAGAGGACATTCGAGGAGTCAGTTTGGTCGTTCTCAAAATTCTTTCAAAGACAAATTACCAAAATTTGAACTGCATATACGAGACCAATGAGGGGCACAAAATTGAAGAATTGTCGTTTGCGTCATTGTAGACAGTAAAGCACACAAAATAATTCTGTGTCCGAATCCAGGTTACCTTTGAAACACAAAAGCTGGTCGGCAATTCTTGCACAAGTAAATTTACAAAATGTTTCAAATACTTAATGACCAAAAAGTTGTCCATTATAAGTAGACCGATAAAAACTCTCAAAATTCCAAATTTTGGGTTCTGGGATGCCATTTGAGTGGTCAGTTTGAAAATTTTGTAGGGGGGGGGGGGGGACCTTCAAAGGCGAACTCCTGCTAAAGATTTTGTCTGATAGTTACCAAATTTGAACTGCGGACACGAGACGGATTTTAATGTTTATCGTATTTTTCCCAGTCGGGTTTTTCGAAATGTATGAAAATGGTTTTCACGGTGGCGACACTGGAGTCCACATTGTAAAGAAAGGATTTCAAGTTTATATTCCAGTGACTTGCCTGCCCGCCGTGTTGACAGACCGATGCTTCAAGCTACCTCCCGAGGGGTTCCTGACTTTTAAAATGAGGGTCTGCGGCCTTCCCGACGGCAAAGTACGAGGTCATACTTAATGGCCGTCTGGGTTCAAGGGTCACATTTTACCGTCCGATTGATTTTTCCAGAGGAGAGAAGCACTCTAATTGTGTTCCAAGATGTGAAGAACATTCTCTCACTGGTGGAAGGCTTTTGACTGCTCTTGGGCTTTAATTGAATGTTGTATTTTGTGTTTTGCGATGATTTATGGAATTGGCGTAGCGCTTTAAAGGCACAGAGCTCATGTAGTTTCCGTTTTCCACGATACCGGGGGTTCCTCGGCTTATATACATTTCGGAACAAAATAATGTTCATCAGCACCATATTTTAAACGGTAACTTCATGATCAATCGGTGATTAACGTTCTTCAGGAAGGGAAGAATAAATGCATGTACAGCAGCGGGTTTTTTTTCCTGCATACGAAATTTGACACTGATTCTTGTTTCACTAACACTCGTTGGTTCATTTCAATTTCAGTTGTGGGTGTGGTGAAGTCAGAGAAACAAGAAGCCACTCCTAAAACTGTCGATAGATTTCCTTTCTGACTGCCAAAGTGTCAAGTCGTTTCTTTTGTAACCGAGCCCGTCCGTCTGACTTTGCAAGTTCAAAACTTTTTTCAAAACAATTTTCGAGACATATTTTAAATGCTTGAGGACAAATGCTGAAAATGTACAAAGACCGTGCAAATGATCAGTACCACACAGGGGTGTGCATAAGCTGGGGGGGGCATTGGGACGGTTGCCCCGGGCTTCCACCCGGATGATATGGTTGTTTAGCAATAATAGATATATTGGAAGAAAGACATCTATTTAAGTAATATTACGCATAAAAATTGACTTTTCTTTCATAATTTACCAAAAAAATTATACTCGATAAATTAGGAATTTTCCATTAGTGGGGCAGGGGGGTGCAAACATTGTTTAGCTGTGTACCGTAGACAGTATACAGAGATTATAGAAGCACTTGGCTTTCATCACAAATTGACGATATCAAGGTTTTATACTGAGGCATCGATATTGTACGGTGACAGACGACGACGTGATACGTTAACATATCAACCGTAAAAATATGGTAGCGCTATCGTGTTACGGTTTAAATATCCATCGTTGGCTGCACATGGAGGTTACAGATCGGACACAGCGGCTTTTTATCAGACGATCCACGATCCATACGTCACGCTAGTGTATCATAGCGGAAATTTAGATTCGTACTTGGTGATTTTTGTCGAATCGGAAGTATCTATTTTCATCATTGGTAGGAATTTACTTTAATGAATATAACTTATGTTTGTTTTGGGGGGGGGGGGGTTGTTTTTTTTTTTTGCTATGTTATTAAACATGTCAATCAGCAACCCCCTTGGCCTGCCCTCTCCTCAATGACATCACCAAGGTCACATGATAGCAGTTTATTTGTCTTAACATTCCATTCGGACAGGGAACGAACGGTCTTAGCCTTGACAAACGCGTCCGTCACGATACCAACAGAGCGGTGTCTTTTCCCGATAAGAGACCTCTGAGACCAGCCCCACCCTTGGGATTGTGGGTAATTGTTTGATTTGTTTAGTTTGCCATCAGGATGGAGACATTTGAATATTGCATCATTCCAGCTGCCTGTTTGTGTCTAAAAAGCTAACATGCCAGTGATGTATTCTTTATCTGTATGCCGTCCCGTCCATCTATGACGTTATTATTGTTAACCGCCGCCGCTGCATCTGTACAATTTGTACATTATAAAAGTATTTATATTTAATGTCCACATGTGTGCTTCTTTATTGGGCAATGGAATTGATGACCTTTTATGTCACTTGTACTAAGTTATTCATCGGCATGTTTTGTGTTACATTTGGAGACAAAATACACACACACACACACACACACACAAAAACGCTTTTAAGCCCTAGAAATGTGATTTCAATTTTTGCTTTGTTGATCCACATGCAAAAAAAAAATTAAGACCAGAAATTAGAAGACCATAAAAGGCAAACATTTTTTATGAATAAAAATGAAAAATTCTGAGCAAAAAAATAAATATTGATACATGATTGAAAACAAAGTACGAAACTCATTTGACGCATCTTCCTCACCAGTTTCATGATAAATACATTTATTGAGATTTTCTGCCTATTGTTTTGCTTGTTTTCCACAAACAAGATGAATCAAATAAGTATGTTAAAAAATGACAGCGCATTTACGTTGAGAACATTGGACAAACTGTTTTGCCTAAAACAGCAACAAAAAAGTATTCCGGTATTAAAATGTTACCTAGTCTCTCATGATCATTTTGACCATCGATAAAATGTGACATTTGTGTGCGTTTTTTTGCACAACTAAGTTCATTTTTAGTGTAAAATAAATATTTTGATTCAGGAAGTTGAAAGAGGTTTTTTTGTTCCATTTTAATTTTTAGCCAAGTAAAAAAATAAAAGAAAGAATATTAAATGAAATTAATTACTGTTGCCATGTGTTATGTAATATGCATTTGGACCAATTGAAAAATATATTGAAACATTATACAATTTGTATTTTGGTAGTTTTCAAAGCAAACAATTTTTAGATTAAGCCTAAAATCTAAAACAGTACCCCTCCGCCCCAAAAGCATTTTTATTGTTATTAAATTACATGCCCCCTTTGAATTACTGTTTTAAATTTATCTTTTTTTTTTAATCTTCTCCAATCTTTTGCTTGGTCTCCGCAAGCAAGTTTATAAAACAACCTTTCTTGAGTGGCTTAGAAAAAAAAACAACCTTTTCAGGCTAAATCCTAAAATAGTAAAAATGATATCTCATGGATGTCTTATTATATGCATTACGGTCATTATTGATGCATATCACATTACAATAGTATATTTCTTACTCATTTCTTAATCAAATGATCACATTAGCACTCTAATACGCATTTTGTTGATGGCGTGATTAAACCAGGACGCCATTAAATGTGCATTTGGGTCTCGCGTTTTCTCATCGTGGTAAAAGGTCAAAAGTTTGCATCTCTCACTGATGGGATATTTGCGCCTTTGTTGCAGCGCGGCATGGCACCCAAGGGCTGCATTACACACACGCGCACGGTCAGTGTATAAACACACCAATGTGGCTTGTAAAAGTGCAGCAAAGAGGACAAATGCAGGCAGGAGACGCATGAGAAACATAAGCAGACATCACACTCCCATTTGTTTCTGTATGGATGTGAAAATCCTAATAATGCCACAAGGCCCCAGCACGGCCCTGGCGGGTCAATATTTCAGCCCAGATAATAACACGGCTCGGCGTTATGAAGGGCCCACAAGGCCGACTCAATCCATACTCTCGCAGACTAAAAGATCATTAAGACCAAACCCCAAACACCAAACCACTCTCCTGCCTGCATTGATTGATTGCTAATTGAAGATTCTGACGAGTCCATCACACACACGGAGACATCATGCAAGGTTTGTATGTCTATTATGTATGATCCACAGGACCCCATTGATTACCACACAACAGCTCAGCTGAATATTTTCATCAATAGTCATTTTTCCCAAAGGCTTTTCATGTATGATCTAGTCTAAAAGGAGGGAATGATTCACACAGAGGGAAATAAAATGAACGAAAAGTGGTCAATTTACAGCTCCAAAATTAAAGTTAATCCTTAAAAAAAAAAAAAAAAGTTGAAATTAGAAGCGGAAATACTCGACTGGTTGTGTTACTTGTCTCCCTCAATGCCACACTGCCCTCTAGTGGTAAATGAGGCTACTACATGAAAACGCTGCTAGAATTTAGAATTTCAGCTTTCATTTTCATTTTATGACTGACAATCTACAATTATAGTTTTAGGGACATTAACAAAAAAAAAAACATATATTTCTATTTATTTATGGTAATAATTAAATGTGCAAACAAAAGAATCTCCTAAAATTCTGGTAGTGTAGCAGATTACTTCGCTTATTTCCTCCCTCCGACATGGGTCCTCGAGTTTTTCGTGTGTGTCCTGTTTGTGATACACATCTACTCCATTCCGTGTCGATCGTTCCAACTGGTGTTGGGAGGTTTTTTTTTTAACTTTCTGACAATCCTCAAATATAATCATCGAATGCTAACACCATGCAGCTACCACAAAAGATGGCCAAAAAAAAAAAAAATTAGCATAGCCAACTTCCTGTTCAATTCCAGGCGTGCCGATAGGTGAAAAACCGGTCGGGTGTAAACGGTTTTTTTGTTTGTTTGTTTTTTCATTTGATTTTTATTTGAACTTGTGAATCTTAAAAAAGTCCTCAAAGTTTCATGCTGTATTCGATGTCAGAGACAAAAACAGCTTTCTGTTTTGGCATTGCCCGAGGATACTGCCCAGTATTCGCACTGGAATTTACCCAAAATGACTGTTTACAGCCAGGTTAACCCCACTTCCTGTTCAGTTTCTGGCCTGGGTCTTGAATACTTTTTTGGGGGTCCTGGTGCATTGGACAGGTTCACCAAACTTTATGTCATTGGTGATATTGGTCCTAGGCACTGTTTTTTTTTTTACCTTTCCAGGGTGCACCAGTGAGTTAGTGCGTGTTTGAGACCCTTAAAATACTTTCAAAATATTTTCATCATAAAATATCAAATGTAGCATTTAGCTTTTTCCTGTTGGCGGCGGCAATCAGTCTTAGTGTCTGCTCCACTGACAAGAAGTTCCTTATGCAAATTCGAGACAGAAGCTGTCTGATCAAGTTTACCAGCAGACTTGATGTGGCGTAATGAGGTCACATGGCGATGTTATGAAAATGTGATGTCACTCATGCCGGGAGGGGAGGTAAATTAGAGACATGACACAGCTATGTGACATCATTCACTTTACAGGAGCCGCTGACAGTGACAACAACTCCTGTAAAAGTCATTTTTATCATGAAATAACATTTTAAAATGCTGAAGAAAATAGTTTGTCAGTACCCTCCTAAAAAAATTTTTAAGTGCCGCCAAAGGTGGATGTGTTTTATTCATTTGTGTCTGCCATGACAGGAAAATGGCTGCAGACCAGGTTAGTAAGCAATTGATAAATCGATCATGAAGGTTTCAACACCATCATGCATTGAAACCCCAACCCTGACTTCCTTTGTCAAATGCTACTTTGAAACAAACTCTATTACTGTTTGAAACCCTACTTTGAAATCATAATATTGTCTTGAAACCCCTGATTGGAACCCTAACCATTGTTTGAAGCCCCAACCATGGCTTGAAACTGATCCCTGACTTGGAACCCTACTTTGAAACTCTAGCTCTGTTTATCGTGAAGGAACACTGTCTTTCGACCCCAACCCAAGTTTGATACTAAAAACCAGACCGGTAGCACTCGTTTGAAACCCTAACATGGAACTGAAACGCAAAGTCTTACTTGAAAGTCCAACCCTAACTGAAATCCCACCCTTCTCTAACCCTAGTTTGAAACACGAGTCGTACTTTGAACCCTTTGTGACAAATCCTAAACCTGGCTTGAAACCATAACCCTTGTTTGAAACCCCAACACTGGCTTCAAACCCGAACCTGAAATGCTAATCCTAGTTTGAAACCCTAAACCTATCCTCAAACCCTAACTTGAGGCACAACCCCTGCTTTAAAAATCCTAACCTTGGATTGAAACTCTAACTTGAACCCATCAACATGGTTTTAAAGCCCAACCTCTTCTTAAAACTGTAATTTAAACCCCTAACCCTGTCTTGAAACCAAAAACCTGCTTTGGAATCCTAAACCCTGGACTGAAACCCAAACTTGACCCCGTAGACTTTATGGTTTTAAATGCTATCCTTGGTTTAGAACTCTTAAATCAACCCTTTCATGCACCCTCTGACCTGATGACATGATAAACTATCCACTGTAGTAACCGCTGTCACCGAAAAAGTTAAAAACCCAAACCATGGTTTGGAATCTTAACTGGAAACCTTAACCCTGGCTTGAAACCTTACCCTTTGTTTAGAAACCCATCCGAACCTAACAATCAGTTTGAGCTCGCTCTGTTACTGTACAATGTCGGTGGGCAGAAACCCCCTTACAGGGTGCAAGCCAAAGCCGTCACGTCGTCAGAAGAGGAGGCCATCGCCATGCGCTCCTCGCCGTGCGACGCCGACAGATACCTGAGGGTCCTCCACTCGCCCGCATCTGACTACCACATCCTGGACTTCCTTGGGGAGGGCACCTTCGGCGACGTGGTCAAGTGCTTGAAGACGGCCACCAGGGAGGAAGTCGCCGTCAAGATCTTCAAGCACATCGACGCCCTGGACACGTTTAAGAAAGAGGTGCCGAACATAAGACGTGATGGACTTCTGGTTATCGATGACTTTGATTTGATTTGATTGTCTTTTTCAGGCCAGCACATTGCAAACCTTAATGGATTTCGACACGGACAAAGTCAACTTGATCCAGTGCAAGAGCATCTTTGTGGACAGAGCGTACATGTGTCTCGAGTTTGAGATGTTGGACATCAACTTGTGGGATTTTATGAACACCAGACCCACCAAGTGCCTCCTTGTCAAGGAGATCCGACCCATTCTTCACCAGGTACACTTGCCTCCATCTAAACGTACGTCTATTGTAGAAGTCTTTGGAAGTTTGGTGTTTTCAGCGGCGGTGTGGTCGGAGCAGGCCTTCCGCTGTGTGGGTGGTCCAAAGAAAAACAAAAAAAAAAAAAACAAACAGATCCTGTTTCTAGAAATTTCCGCTTGATAGCTTTAATCTTGCTGCATGTGTGACAATGATGAAGTGGCAGTCAAGGACAGGAAAACTTCTTGCTAGAGGGCAATATTCCAACGTTGCTCAAATGTTAGTTGAGGACTCATGGGCGAGAGAATTTGCTGGCAAAAACTCCTCACGGAAGGGCTCACGTCATTCTGACTGATACCCGAAATGAAATAAGAAAAAAAGAAAGTGCATTGTGATCTTTCGGACACCATCTATGTGGCAAATGTCGTGGTTTTCAAAGATCAGCTCATGTCTGTTTTGTTTGAAAGTTCAACTTTCTGTTGAAATGTTGGAAGAGTTCTTTATTCCTAAACACAGATCAAACACAAACATTGTTTTTGAATTTGCTCGAGCGGAGGAGTACTGGGGCCACACGAAAAAGAGAATTTTACTGTGAGAAACAAGTCGTTGTAGTTGGAAGACTTCTTTATTCCTAAACACAGATTGAACACAAACATTGTCTTTTGAGTTTGCTCGAGCGGAGGAGTACTCGGGCCACACAAAAAAGAGAATTTTACTGTGAGAAACAAGTCGTTGTGTTTCGTTTGACCAAAAAATAAAGAAATAAAATAAAAAAGTCATCTTTCAAGAATGACTTCATTATTGAAGGGATAATGATTTTATTTTATGAGAAAAAAGTTGCATTTTTTCAGGATGAAAAGCGGGAATACTACAGCAATACAATGGACCCCCACATATTTGTGGTTTTGCACCTATGGATTCACCTATTCATGGATGTCTTTTTTCAATATTTTTAATTTCCCTGGCCATTTCCCCCTTGTTTTAATAATAAAAAACACATGCTGGAGGGTTATCAGTGTTTTTTTTAAGACAATTTGCATGTTGTACAGACCAGTAGTGGTCCACCGTAGTCCTATTTTTCAGGTTAAAAATGTATCATTGTGGAGTAAAATGGAATTTCGCAAAAAGAATTTTCTTTGACAGAAAAAAAATACAGAATTTAAAACAACAGTCTTGTAATGTTACATTTTTTTTCACGAAACAATTTTTTTGTTGTTGTTTTGAAAACGTGTTTTTATTGTTGTATCAGTACAACTTCTTTCTTAAAAAAAAAAAAGTGTTAGTTTGTTCTCAGAAGATGTATTTTTCTCCAAAAGAATACAACTTTATTCTCATCTAGATTGCCATTTGGGGGTTCGGGGTTTTGTGCCCTGTCGTGGCTTAAGCTAGCAAGGTATGCTAATGCGTATCCCAACGCTTCAACATTTGGGCCTGGAGTTATTTTTGCGATAATGTTACTTTGTTTTCGATACGCATTGATTTATCCTTGATGCCCAAGTATTATATCGGTATTTCTGTCCATCGTTTGAGCTAGTTTATAACCCCGGACCCGACCCGGTATATTTTTAAGCTAGCAAGCCAGGCTGGTGAAGCTATTATAATTGAATACCATGTACTCGTGTCTTCAGCTGGCCGTGGGCCTGCATTTTCTGAACAGTATTGGACTTATCCACGCAGACCTGAAGCCCAACAACATCATGATGGTGGAGCATGTCAACCGGCCGTACAAAGTTAAAATCATCGACTTTGGCTTGGCCCAGCACGTTTCGGAGACCAATCAGGGCCGACACTTTCAGAACCGCCGCTACAGGTATGCAAAGAATGTAGCTGACCTCCTTTTTTTTACCTGAGGGATTATGTTGAGATGTGGTTGACAGTGTATTTGCAATAGATAGCGATAGTTCTTGCTACTTTCAGGGCTCCAGAGATCATCCTCGGTTTTCCCTACGCGGAGGCTATCGACGTGTGGTCTCTTGGTTGCATTATCGCAGAGTTGTTTTTGGGCTCTCCACTTTTCTACAGCACCTGTGAATACGACATGGCAAGAAGCCCGCCCTGACCCACCCACCCCAAAAAATGTATTCCAATCCTGACTGCTCTGAAATAAGGTCTCTTCCATTTTTAACCTTTTTTTTCCACAGTTGAGAAAGATCGAGCACATCTTGGGTCATCTTCCACAAAGACTTCTGAACATTGGAGTCAACACGACTTATTTTTACAAGAAGGAGAGGGCCTACCAGTCATGTCACTGGAGACTAAAGGTATAAAGTCAACTCCTGAATAGCAATGAGCTATCAACAGCCTCCGATGTTTAGGCGGTGAATGGCTCAAAAGGTTTGGACATTTGGAAAACTTCCTTTAAGATTTCACTGCGTTTCTGACAGTTTTGTATCACTTCCCCGTAGACGCCCAACGAGTATGGCTATGTCGCCTGCACCGACAGTTTTATCAACTCTCTGGATGACCTTTGCAAGGTATCGAGCTTGGTTCTTTATCTTAATAGCGTCCCAGCAAAGAACACAGGATGAGAAATGTCTTTTTGCCCGAGTAATCGCATGTGGATGCTGCTGCCAAGGTGAAAATGCCAAACAGAAACAAATCAATTGGGGGAAGATTAATTCAGAGATATTACTGAGTGGGGTAAATGGAATGGAGCATTTGGTATGCTGCTGAGCTGTGTCAAGTTCCAGCACGTAACATTAGCTAAGGAACAGGAAGTGTAACTGCTTCAATTACGAGATATACTTTGACTCCGTAAACAAACACAGTGCAGTGCTGCTAATCCTTTGGCTAGCACATATCAGTGCTAGAGAAATATACTTTGACTCCGTAAACAAACACATTGCTGCTAATCCTTTGGCTAGCACATATCAGTGCTAGCCAAATGCTACATAGTTTGGTTGTCCGTCAAACATGTTCGCTCTTAGTCAAATTTGTCTTTGTGAATCTCGCCATAGCAGTTTGATTTTTTTGTTTTTTACATTTCATTTGAAATATCATTCAGTGTATTGGTGTTGACACAAAGCAAATTCTCGAAAGTTCCCTCACTGTACCAAAGATGACCTGTAAAACCAAAACGAGTTAAATCCCAAATAGTGTCATTTAATTGGACCTTGAATAATAAAAGCCACGACCTGCAGCAGATGCTGCTGTTAAACTTTTCTGTTTCTTTTCTGACCTCCCTTTGGTCTTCTTGGAGAAATAATTCAATCATTTAAAAACTGCGACGTCATACCTCACCAACCATAAATGAGGTGTGGATTTTGAAAAAGTATGATTCATGTCATGTTCGCATGTGTCTCAGTATTAAAGCTTGCAGTGTGTTCCGGTCCAGGTCAGACAAGTGGTCCACCTGTCGAATGAGGACACCACAGCAGAAGTCCAAGACCAGGAGGTCTTTGTGGATTTGCTGAAGCAGCTCCTGAGGCCTGACGCTGGCAAGCGACTGATGCCCAGTCAGATTCTCCAGCATCCCTTCGTCACCCTGACTGACCTTGCACACAGCCACGCCAACAGCTTCTAGTAAGTTCACGGCAGGAAACCGTAGAAGCCACTCCAGTGGGTTAAACACCTGATTTCTTCTGTTCAAGCATGAAACTGAGCTGCGAAATGATGCAGGCCTGTCAGAATCCAAGCTCTGGGACTCAGGTTGACACATCTGCGGCCTCGCACCACGCCACTCGTCCCACTTGGCAGATCCACCGGGAACATCCTGACATCGTGGGGATCTCCTCGGGCATCTCGAGGGGCCTCAACCTGGACAACCTCGACTCGGAGTCACACACGACTCTCTCGTCTCGGCTCCGTTTAGTCAACCTCCACAAGTCGCCAGACTCGCCTCCCCATGAAAACATGTGGCGCATGGCAGGGTAAGCAGCAGATTTTAACCGGGGCCCGATGTGGATTATTATATATATATTTTTTTTAGGATGATGCCAGTTCCGATATTTGGCAGAAAAAAAAGCTGATTTCCCATCAATCAGACAATTTAAAAAATATTTCGTGCGTAAAAATTTTTAGGGGTGTCACCAGGTGGCCTGGTGGTCCAGTGGTTAGCACGTCAACCTCACAGTGCAGAGGTACCGGGTTCAATTTCAGCTCCAGCCTACCTGTATGGAGTTTGCATGTTCTACCCGGATCTGCGTGGGTTTTCTCCGGGTACTCCAGTTTCCTTCCACATTCCAAAAACATGCATGGCAGGCTCTAAATTGTCCCTCGGTGTGAGAGTGAGCGCGGATGGTTGTTTGTCTCTGTGTGCCCTGCGATTGGTTGGCAACCGGTTCAGGGTGTCCCCCGCATACTGCCTGAAGACTGCTAGGATAGGCTCCAGCACCCCCCGTGACCCTTGTGAGGATAAGCGGATCGGAAAATGGATGGATGGATGGATGGATGGATGGATGGATGGATGGATGGGTGGACCTATATATCCCAATAGAGCATTTTCCCTTAAAATTCCATGAAATTAATGGTAATTTTCTGCCATCTTTGTTTCCATTTGTTCATAAAATACTATTTTGTATAGAAGGCACAATAAAATGAAACAACGATGCAGTGAAGTCCCCCCCCAACCCAAAAAAACAAAAAAAAAACAATTCCATGAACTCTTTCATGCGCTCTGTAACCTGATAACATGATGAGCCGTCCACTGTAGTAACCGCTGTCCCTGAATGGGTTAAAATAAAGTTTTAGAAACACATGTTTGTTCATCTGCGTGCAACATAGTAAATGGTTAGGGTACATCAAAACCCAACAATCAGAAAGGTCAACTTGCCAATGATTTTTTTTGTTGACAGCGTTTGTTTTTCAGAGAACCACAACAGAAGGAGGATCAGGAGTCAGTGCAGGAGCAAAGAGGTACGTTTGAGCTCACTGTTGGAATCAAAGTACGATGACATCATTTCTGATATTCCAACAGGGGCTTCCACCATGATGACCACCACAGTGGCTAAATCGGAGCCACCAGCGCAAAACAGCAACCAGTCAGTTTTTAGCTTTTTTTTTTTTTTTTTTGGTCAAGACTCTTTTTTCGATGTCTGCCCAATCCATAGTTTCCAACTTGCTTTTTTTTTTTTAGAGTGCTAAAAAGTACCAACCCGGATGGAAGACGGACCACTATCTCCAATGGTGACCAAACAGCTACGGGTAAGTCATATTTAGAAATTTGATGCCACCACATGTCGCGATCAATTAATCACAACCCTATGTAAAGTTGTATTTTTACATGGAAAAAAAAGTTAGCAGGAATTTTGTAAGAATTTTTTTATTATTTTTTTTAGAGCCAAAGTATTTTTTTCCAGAAAAACAAAAGTTGAAAAGAAATAATTTATTCTCAATATCATTACAAAAACAAACCATATTACCGTTAAAATTCTGGCAATGTTTAATTTAATGTTAATTTTTTTTTTAGTACTATTTATTTTTTTATTTATTCATTTATTTATTTAAGAATAACCTTTTACTCTACCTAGATTATGTCGGTACAGTCTAATAGCTGGCGAGCAAGTCTGATGAAGCTTTTTATAATTTGAACAACACGTTGTCATTTCCCCCCAGAAATCCCCAACACGTTTACTGAATCTGCAACCACCAGCATGGCCACCGCGACGTCTTCAACGCCAAGGAGCATCAAGTAAGACTTGGTCTTCTGTGTCTTATCGTTTTTCAGGAACTACACGTTTGTGCCTCATTCACCTTTCATGTCTTTACTGGTCTAGCAACGAGCGGGCGAAATGGAAGGCCAAGCCAGGAGGCATCCGCGCACCAAAAGGTTTGTCTTCAGTCACCGACTTGACACACCTCGAGAATATATCTTTGTGTGTGTGCGTGTGTGTGTTTCGTTTTTGCTCATGGGCGCTGTGTTCAGTAGGAAAAGGAAGATTGAAAAGGAGGAGACCGAGTTTGAGACCCGCACCAAACAGTTCGAGGTCAGTGTTGCGTCGCCTGACTGTTCTCTCTCACTCTCGTTGGGTTTTAATGGAATCCGGTTGAATCTAAATTTCTCAAATGTTTGTTCTCAAGTCAAAGCAAGGAATCACCCATATGTTATCTTGAAATCTTGGAAGTCGGGTCACTTTGCTCTTATCTCAAAGCAGCACGATCATTGAACTGGATTTAGAAAGTAACTGGGCTAATTGTTGCTCAGAAGTCGCCAACTGACGCCAAATTTTGTGTTACTTTATTTTTTCGCCCACGCAGCAGACCTACTTCCTGTTTACATTCTTTTTGCCTAGTAAGAGAAAGTGACATTACATTACAGTACGGTTGTAATTTTTTTTTTTTTTTTACTGAAACAGACCAGGTGAGACACAAGACATTGTTTACAAACCATCCGCCCAGAAAAAGCAAACCACAAACTTTCATTTTCCCATGGCTCTTCCCATAATATTTTATCTGTACAGGGACTCACCGGTAACAAAGAAGAGAAAAATGAACACAACACCGGAAAGTAGTAACGGGGCTAATCCCCCTGCCGCGAATACAACCCAGTCTACAGCGAAACCGACAGAGCGCATTGTGTAAGTATCAAAGCCTGTGACAGACCCACATTGTTGTATTTGGCATAAAAGCTCCACCCCAATCAAACATTACGCACTGTCATGATTATATCTTGGCAGGAAAACGAAATCTGATGGCGTCCCGACAAAAAGTAGTAAGTCAGTCAGATGTACCTCACTTTGGAGGAGGACCGAAGTGCAAAATTGTTTTATAGATTCTTCAAAAGTGCTTCCTTAGTCTGCGTAACAGCATCTCTTGACGTCTTTCCCCCCAAGAAACACCAAAGAGCAAAATGGCACGGAACACTTACTCAGCCTGGAGGAGGAGGACTGAATCCGCGCGTAAATTGAAGACCGATACCAGCGAAAGGGCCAAAGCTACGACCAAAACACAGACCCCTTCTGGGATTACAAACCGCAGTGGGTAGGTTAGAGGATGATGTGCACCCCTGGACTTAAGCGCGACCTAACCCGTCTCTTCACAACAGTGCGGATAGTGACAAGACCCAAAAAAAGAAAGACAAGACGTGACGGTGTCCAAACACTTTGTTGTAAGTCCAGCAAACTTTTCAGGGGCGATTTTTGATATCATTTAAAGATTGTCTTTCATTCATTAGCAGATCGCCTTGATAGGGTCGCTTTGCTAATTAAAGTATGTTCTGAGACGTTTGCTAATTTAACATTGTCACCAATAGTCTCAATAGGCTCGCTTTACTGTAAAGTCACCAGATAACCTCGCTGGGTTTGGCTTTGCTTGGATGACAATGTCACCAAACTTTTTTTTCGACTACATTCCAGACCTTCCCAAAGAAGAGAGGAGTGGTTTCACTTATTGTGATCATAGTCTGGTCCGGCAGAAGATCAGAACCTAAGGAGGCGACCAAAGCAATAAACCCGGTTGGGAAAGGATATGGTATTAGGGATTGAACGATTGTATACCCACAGTTCATGATATATCCTTATTTGTTTACATACAGTATATATATTTTTTGTCATTCCAGAGCTGTTGATGGCCCTGACAGAGTCACAACAGAAAGAGAAGATGAGTTCCTGGTGGAGGTCCAGGTATGACATCTCACAATTGGCATCCTTAAGCAAACTTGAACGACCTAACTCCAAACTCACCTCTTTGTTTTAATCTGTCCAGGTTTCGAGGCTCAGCCTGAAAGCAAGGACTCTTCAAATGATACCGATGGGTACAAAAAAAAAAAAAGGGTACAAAGCACTCTGAAGCTCCAGAATGTTGATGGATTTGTGTTGCATCCCTTTTCGGATGCATTGTGTTCAGACAATCAGACAATCGATCATAAACGGTCCTAAAACTCACCGCTTATACACCAAAAGTGAACAGAGATCATTTTCAGGTATCTGAAGCAGATTAGACTTCTTGAGAGTAAGATGGACTATTCTACACAAGGATCAAGGCAGACATTGTAAGAGGATGTGTCATTGTTTTTTTTTCCCCCACCAATACATTTACCAATAAAGCAAAAAAAAAAAAAACACAGACTTAAAACTTTACACGTACATAAATAATACAGAGCATGAGACAGTGTTAGAAACAGTGAGAAAACAACACAAATGGAATACACAGTGGCAACATAACGCTAGCAACCGCAATAAATACTTTGTATATGCACACTACATGAATAAAACTACACTAGTAGTAAAATCTCTTGACATTTAGACAAATCGGAGAAATAACATACAAGAATTCATGACATGTGTTTCTTGAAACCAGGTTGGGGAACAGTCTCAAACAAAGAGCAATAGTTTAGCCAACTGCTAACTACAACCAGCTAAACTAGCTAGCAAGTAATTACTTTAGCGAGCGCCAGGCCAGCCAATTTTCTATTCCGCTTCATTAATCGCTTGAATCACGGCTTCAAGCCCTCGAAAAACTACCAATTTTACAATGAATGATCATAAAGTAATTTTGGCAATCTTTTTCTAAGAACAATACATCTGTTTGCGGTGTTGACTTTATTGGATGATGCAGATGCAGGTTTCGCCTGCGGGATTAGCGATTTTGGAGTCCAATTTTGTACACTTGGTGTTTTTTTATTTATTTTTTGGGGCGGTCACTCAAGATTGTTCTGGCTTTTTTAACAACAAATTTATCGTACACTTTTATTCTCACTTTACCGGGACGTTGTTGCGAAATATCTACATGACTAAATAGTTTCAAATGAAAATGAAATACCTAATACTGTAAATCGTGAACACCGTTTTCTTCCTCTATTTCTCAGGACAGCCAATCAGCGACGAGCAAACGCGTCAGAGGCCCAGATGGAGAAGCCTACACGCAGTACTTTAAAATACCAGCAGATGGCACTAAAGAACTACGAAGATTTACCCACACTTGCTTGTTCTTATTTATTTTTTTGAATGCGTGCGCGCTGCATCTCTGTGGCTGATGCAGATTAAAAACACTTGTGAGTTGATTAATTTAGTTTGTATAGTTACGTTTCGTATTTTGTTACTTGAGAACTTTAATGACAGTGATGGTGGTGGTGGTAGTGGTCACTTTGTGTCCAGACATGGCATAAGTAAGTCGATGTTGTGGCTGGTTGATGTCGTTTTGTGTCTGGCGACAGACATCAGTAGCAGACATCTAAGGGAAAGAAAACAAGGAAGCAAAATGGGGGTAAAACTGACCGTGCGCTGCTGGACACACGACAGACATTAGAGGCGATGCTTTGTCGTGGCAAACTAAGTGTTAAAACGAGAAATTGTTTCAAAAACGGGTTTCAAAGAAGGGTGAACGCATTCAATTTGGTTTTGAGGCCAACTCAAGATATCAAATTAGGGTTAAAGTTGGCCTCAAACCCTAATTTGAGTTTAATTCTTGTTTGAAACCCGGGATTTGGATTTCACGTTAGGGTTTCAATCCTGGCACGGATTTCAAATTCGCATTTCAAATCGGGATTAGGGTTTCAAGTGAAGAGTTTCAAGATTTATGGTTTCAAATGAAAAATTAGGGTTTCAAAACAGGGTTATAGTTTAAAGTTCAAGGTTTCCCCATCTTAAGATTTCAAGTTAAGGTTTGAGGCCTGCTTTGGCTTTGAAGGTACGGTTTCAAAACAGATTTAGGATTTCAAGTGATGGTTTCTTATTAGGATTTCATACCTGCCGTTAGGAATTCAAGTTAGCATTCCATGTCAAGGGGAAGGCTTCAAGTTAAGGTTTCAGGTCTGTGGTTTGATTTCATTCAAGGATTAGGGTTTCAAGACAGATTGAGGATTCAAAATATGTTTCAAGCCTGGGCTAGGTTTTCAAATTCAGATTTCAATCTTGGGTTAGGGTTTGAAATCTGACTGAGAATTTCAATTATCAGGCTTTCAAATTATGGTTTCATACCGGGGGTGCGGTTTAGATTGAGTTTACAAAGCCATTTTAGGGTTTCCTATCCTGGGACTAGCGGCACCATTTGTCAAACTGCTGACATTGCATCTTTGCAGGCCGCATCTCAGCATGACCACCCCCCAGCCCTCCGCCAAGGAAATCTTGTTTTTCGCCACCCTTGCTACTCCGCGCCTGACCTCTACAACAGCAAGTAATGAGGATGGCGACGATTGACAAGCTATTGAAAACGTTCTCCTCAGCGCAAGAATGTGAAAACAAACATTCGAAAGCACAAGTGTGTAGTTCAACACCGCTGCGCGTGGCACTCGCATGTTTATTAGCGAGCAGCAACACATCCTGTCAATGATCAATTTCTTTAAGTTGCCTTTTCTCACTATTTCCTGCCCGCACTCTCTTAGTCATGATGATGCTTTCGGGATTAATTTTAAGAAAGCAAATCCATTAAAAAAAAACAAAAAAAAAAAAACAATCTGGGTGAAGTAGGTGTGTCACTGTTTGCAGATTTTTATGGCTGTACCACCGCCATGGAAACGTTTGTTTTAGTTGGGCCTGAGCAGCCAAACTAATCCCGCCAACGCAGCTGCCCGGATTACCGGTGCGCCTTGACCTTCGTTTTTATTTTTTAAACCGTGCTCTTCCCTCGGACAAAAGCCGCCGGCCACCTCACCTGCCGCTTGCGATGGCCTGATAAACGATAAACTGCTAAAAAAAAAAAACAAGGGACAAAAGTCTGATAGCCATCGGTGACCAGTTTCATTACACTAAAACGCATTGTCACTGGAACGTCACACAGCAGTAAATGAGGGTTTGAAGTCAAGGTTCAGATTGGCAATTGGGTAATTAATAAGGAATTCCAGCCTATGTTATGGTTTCAAATTAGGGTTTGAAGCTATGGTTATGGTTTCACAGACAGGTTGAGGTTTCAAAATCGGGTTTGAATAAAAAGTTCGGGATTCAAGTTTGAGTTCCAGACCCAAGTTCAGGTTTCAAATTAGGGTTGGAAGCCAAGAGCAGGATTTTCAACAAAGATTTGTGCTTTAAAGTCATACTAGTGTTTTAGTAAATTTGGGTGTCAAGATGTGACCACTGTTTAAACGCAGGTTAGGGTTCCGTTTTCAAAGAAGGGTTTGAAGCCATGGTGGGCGCTTCCAATTAGCGTTCGTGTCGAGGTTAGGGTTTCAAATAACAATGGTTGATTCCACTTTTTTTCAGACCGTTACTAATATGAGTATTCATTCTTTGAGTACTCACTGATGCCATGTTCCGACACCTCTAGTACACAAGTGTCTAACTCCGGTCACGCAGTGGAGTTCCAACTACTGCCAAGGAGGACTTGATATCAGATTTATTGTTTTCTTATTTATTTCTTTTTTTTATTTTTCTATTTCTTATTTATTAGGGTTTCAAACAACCGAAGACCAGACTTTGGTGGGTGCAGAAAGCCGTCTTCCTTTGCAGGGTTCTTCCTGGTGATTAGGCCGATGTGCTCAGCGTGCAGTCATGTGCCGCCCTCGCGCTCGAGCGACGCTCGCTGAGGATTAGCGGCAGCACGCGCGATTGGTCGCAATGGGCTTGCCAAATGGAAGCTGAAAGATGTTTTGTCTGGGGTGTACCTGACCGCTCGCTTGAAGTCAACTGGGATAGGCTCCACCACACCCGTCATGAGAAAACTCTGGGTTGCCCTAACCCGATGCGGGTTTGAAGTCAAGGTTAGGAATTTCAAACAAAAAACAGAGCTTCAAATCTGGATTAGGGTTTCAGTTTAGGGTGTGGAAAGGTAAGGGTTTCAATTTCAGCCAATGTTAGGGTTCTAAATTTCAAATAAGGGTGTCTTATTTGCATTACGGTTTCAAGTGAGTGTTTGAAGCCAAAGAGATTGCTATCACAAAAAACTGGGCCTCAGATGAAAATATCAAATCTGCTTTAGGGTTTCAAATGAGGGTTTTAAGCCAGGGTTAGGGTTTAAAATCAGGGTTCAAAGTCAGAGTTCCTATTCAAAGTGAGCTTAAAAGCTAAAATTAGGGTTTTAAACAAGGGTTTCAAATCTATGTTAAGGTTTCAAATGAGGGTTTGAAGTCAAGGCTTGGGTTTTAGTTGTGTTTCAAATATTGTTTGGGTTTTAAATTAGGGTTTGCAATCTGGGTTAAGGTTTTAAATTAAGGTTAAAAAAAGATGAGGTTCGGGTTTTAAAAGCATTAGGGTTGAATTAGTCAGCAAAATCCCCCCAGTTTTTATGCATCTTACGGGAAGCGGCCATTTTGCTACTTCCTGTCCACTGCAAATGACATCACAGTACCTGAGGGCTCAGGTAACGACTGTCACGGCTCACCTGGTCTCTGGGTTTGGTCATGTGACGTTTGCAAGCTGAGCCCCGTGATGTCACCGAAGCCACAGTGAGGGTTTTAAACACAAGTCAAAAGCTTTACAAATCTGGTTTGAAGCCGATGGCTGCCGTCAGCTGGCTAAGTGAGAGCTCGACGAAGTGAACGAGGCTGTGGACTCTTTACACTGAAACTGACAAATGTCTTTGGAATCAAATTAGCCGCATTTAGCGTCACCCATTTCAGTGCACACAATGAGGACTGCGAGGGTGGCGGCCCCTCCTTGCCTGCTTTGCCACCCAACATGGACCTCCCCCAGGGAGTCGCCCAGCTGGAACTGTGTGGCTAATGGACTCATGAGGACATCATGACACGGGACTCGCAGCAGCCAGAGAACAATAAGTAGACACAGGGTAAGGCTTTTGCATTAAGGTTCTGGTAAAGGGGGTTAGAATCTAAGGTTTTAGGCCAGTGTTGGATTTCAAGTTAGGGTGTTGAGCCTAAGGGGCACAGGATCCCAACC